CGACCTGGCTTTTCTGGTGCGAAGGTTGATTAGACACACGACGGATTTAAAAAAATAAGACCTGTCAAAGGATGAATGAACATTCTTGTAGGACCAACAGCCATCTCGCACAATTTAGCAGACTAGGTTCTGTAGCTATATGCAGCCAGTGAGGTGAATGACACGGCACCGCTGAGCAGAGGGCTGCTTATACTGAACTCAACAACCAGGACGGAGAGTTCCACCAATGGAATCAATGTCCACATACCTGTAACCAAGATGGAGGACATTAGCGGCGGTTTACTTGCCCATGAATATCTCTCCATCGTTCAACCCAGAGAGATGTGGAGAGAATTGGTTTAGTGCTTAGCTGCGCAGTCACCATACCACTACAATCGATTATTAGACTAATGATAGTAATCATCATCATTTGAAAGTAAAAAAAAATAAGGGATATAATGACATTATACAAATAAATATGGAAATGTAGAGTAACCCACCACCTGAGGCAAAATACCTGCTGCCTATTAAAGTATTGATGTAAGAACTTACTATAATCGTCTGTATAATCAAAGGTTCTGCTCTTTCTTCGACCATTACTTTTATACCAAATTCCAAAGATGGAAATCGCCAGAATCGCAGCGACAGGAATTAAAAGCAGATAAAACAGAAAGTTATAGTTTGATATTTTTTCAAGAGTTAACGTCTGGGTTTTTGAATGAAGAGTTACCTGAAAAAAAAATAAGCAAATATTAAGACTCAGATCAATTATAACAAAATTAAATATTGGAGAGGAAAGAAACTGAACACAAGGTTGCTTTAGGGGTACTGCTGTATTGTGTTGTTCTACGACACAGGATCAGTTGTCAACGTTTTAGCACTAGCCTGGACTGAAAAAACACTGGATCCAAGTCTCGACAAATTCAGGTTCATCCGAACGACTTAAACATCCTATCAGCGACACCACAGGCATTTTTGTCCTACACCATATGATGCTACAAAATCAACATGCTCTCTCTCTCTCTCTCTCTCTCTCTCTCTCTCTCTCTCTCTCTCTCAACAAAAACCGCATCACTTGAACACTTCCAATAGTAGCAATAACTGAAATGGGTAGAACGTATAACTAAATGGAAAAATAATAATATAATTTTAATGTTAACTTTGCCCACTAACAGAAACTTCGTAAAAAAAGTTTTTCCCAAATTCAAGTTACTAGTTTTAACCCGTGAAAATTTCCATTTTTCCTATTTGCATTTTCTGATGAAGTTAATGATTGCATAAGGTCATTACAATAAAACATCCATAGAAATTTCCCTATCACATCATCAAATATTTGAGCTTAACAACTTTAACAAAATATTGCGATAACAATCATAAATATGAATGCTGGTCGTTATTTTAAAAATTGGTTACAAATGAAAAGATTTTAAATAGACAACTTTTTCTATATCACTGAAACAATCGTTAAACACTTCTATCTCCCCTTCTTTCTGTCATTTCCTCACTGAAACCAAGTAGTGTCATTTTCCCTTTTCCACGCGATCAAAACAGAATAGTCCTTTATTTATTGGTTATTGGCAGGGCGCGTAACGGTCGTGCGAACTAACGAGGGGTGGGCAGACACATTTATCTCTATCTATAAAAGGCAGGCTGTGTGTGTGTGTGTGTGTGTGTGTGTGTGTGTGTGTGTGTGTGTGTGTGTGTGTGTGTGTGTGTGTGACGAATGCACGGCCGCAATTTTCGACGGATTTTGCACCAAAATTTACATGCACATGCTCCAAGTTAGTGGAAAGGCCATGACCGACTTCCCAACTCCCATCGATAGTGGAAATAATCGATTTTTCATGCTAGTAATAGAATAAAATAACTCAAGAAATTCAGTAAACATTTAAAGGGCGACAATTTATAGTTATCTTACGTTCATTATTGCGATTAGTAAAATCATTGATATTTACTAAGAATTTATACAGTGGATTTATTGCTTGTATTTAATAATTTAATGATATCTGATTCAATATGTCTAACAATATGATTAGTCTTTCTTCTCCCACACCAAGCTGCAGTAAGAAGAGGAAAAATCCATGAGTTTAAAAGAGCTTGACAAGTCTTTTCGCGAGCAAAAAGTAAAATCTACATCTAAAGATAATGAACCCAGAGACTGAGAAGTGTTTGAATAAGACAAAAGGTTAACATTATTTTGTTTAGAATTTTAAAGAATTAATTGATGAAAGAGACAACGTTTCAGTGTTTATTTATGAAATACAATGTTCGCTCCTGAATCACCTATTACAGTGTAACCCGGATATAAGAGAGTTGTCGAGACAGGTGAAGAAATTTCTTATATCCGGGTTTCTCTTATATCCGGGTTTCGTCTATTTTATATACATTAACACAGGCTCTAATTTGGGACCAGAGAAAATCTTTCTTATATCCGGGTTTCTCTTATATCCGGGTCTCTTATATCCGGGTTACACTGTAATTTAAAGTGCTTCTGGATGAGCAAAGTCATTTTTGTAGTAATGACGTTGTCTGTTGAAGATACACTTATTTGATATATATTGTAATCATTTTCTGTGGAATGTGCATTTTTTGTTGCGTGGTGTGTAACCTCAGTCGTACAGTGGTGGTTAAGTGACTAGATTCCATGATATATATATAGTCGTACACTAAGGAACTGTCTTTTCTATTGCAATTTTATCTTTTTCTATTGCAATTTTATCTTTTTTATCTTCCAAAAGAGGCTCCTACAGAGAATTTTATGAAATGACAACTGTACGTTCTTATTGGTTTAAAAACACTGTCTAAATTTGTATGATTAGCCAGAACATTTTGAATCTTGTTTGAATTTTTTTTAGATGAGAACCTTACAGAGCTTCTATAAATTATTTACACTATCTATATTCGGACTATTGTCCTAATCTTCGGTTTTATCATATTTCGGCCGTTGTACCCTCCGGCCTTCATCAGGTGTATATCGATCCGGGTAACCTTCAGGGAATTCCAAACTGAACCCTTTATTTAATCTACGGGGATATACTGTTCTCGTTCCTCTGTTTATGTCTAGAAATATCGTCTAGTTCTTATTTTTATTGTGTACTGTTCAGTTATTTCTCAGTTTCCACTCAGTGCAACTACACACCGCCTAACTAAGCTCACAACCACTATATCACCAAATTCACGGTGTCACCAAATTCACTAACGCTTTTGTCCACTAGCCCATTGTCCCGTACTACAATTTGCTGGAGTAAGCTTGAAGGCTTAAACATAAACTTCACTGCTGGTTGGTTGTCATGTTTTGATTGCTGCCATTCCTGCTGCGGTTCAAGACTTCTTGCCATTTGTCTTTCTTTATTATAGATTCCCATATTCTATTTATTTCTTGGCTGGGCCTACTAAAGAGTTATTACAGCTGTAAATTACATTTTGAATGGTTAATTTGCAGTGTAACACCCGCGCTCAGTTTGCATTAAAAATTTCAAGAATACTAACATTTATGTGCAATTGTACATGCTTCATTCGAATCGAGCTTGAAAAAATTTGATAAAATCCACCGTTTTCGAGTTATCGACAGTGAAAGTTCGGATTCATTCGCGTTGTGGGCAGCCATTACTGGCGTTGTTTGCATACATTCGCTGCAGAATAGCTATCAGTGTAGGTATCATTGCGCAAACTGAGCGTGTCTATGTAAATAGTTCTCGTGCGCAGTAATTGAGACAAATTTAGACAAGAAAGATCCGCTCCGCGATTAGATTTCCGTAGCGAATGTATGCAAACAACGACAGTAATGGCTGCCGCCACGACGCAAATGAATCCAAACTCTCACTGTCGATAATTCCAAAACGGTGGATTTTGACAAATTTATCATGCTAGATTCTAATGGAGCATGTACACATAAATGTAAGTATTCTGGAAATTTTTAATGCGAACTGAGTGCGAGTGTTACACTACAAATTAACCTTTGAATATATATATATATATATATATATATATATATATATATATATATAAATTTAAAGTGCGACATTTTATTAAAAAAAACTGTATATATATATATATATATATATATATATATATATATATATATATATATATATATATATATATAGGTATTTTTTTCTCAGTTGTTATTTGGGCGTAAATGCTTGTTATCAGTTTATCATTAAACAAGATCGCCATTGCGGGCACCAAGTGAGTATCGAATTCACTACAAATTATTAGTTTAGGATACTAGCTTTTCAAAATTACACTATTTTGTTGCATAGCAACTAGGTCTGATGTAGTTTCTTGATCATTTGAAATGAGATAATTTGGTAAAATTACTGCATTTCTTAGAATTCTGTGTTTGTTCTGCTCTTAGATTCATTGATCTTTTTTTCTTTATTTTTTCAATGTATGTTTTATTATTCTATGTGTATCAATAGAAATTAATTGACATATAAGTAAAACCAATGAAATTAAATCTCATTAATTCTGTAAGTGAAATATTAACAAAGTTTTATTGTCAAGAGGAAATTATTATTAAGAGGAAATTATAATTTTTCAACCTATTTTCGAAATTTCGGTTAAAAAATTTGTCTTTCTTGCGTTAGGGGGGGGGACTAAAGATTAGTATAGGAAATTTTAGCGTCATTTTTTGCAATGAAAAACACATTGATTTGGAAATTCTTGCAGAAATCAAATAATTATCTATAAGTAATCAACTATCTCCGTGTTAAAAATACATTTCTGCGATAATTTAAACTAAATGCAAGTAATATTTCTTTCAAATCAGATTAATTAAACTTTAAATTTGCTAATATTCCTCAAATAAAGCTTCAAAAAAGCATATTTTATTTTTGAAAGATTTTTTTTAATAAAGAGAATTATTTTGTAATGAAAGATGACTAAAAAATGGCACTAAAATCAGCAATTTCAGTAATCTTAAAACGAAAATTCCTTCTAATCAATTTAAAATCGTCTTGAAATGCAGCAAAGTATTTTGCTTATTGAAAATATTAAATTTAATCTATTAGCTTGAAACTAAAACTAAAATAAAAGCTTCAAAAGATATTTTTCATTTCTTTTAATTCATTTTAAACCTTTCTGTGGAAGTCCCTACATTTAGGCAACTGTTTTATAAAAAGTAATTTGATAATAAGCATTATTTGCATTTTGCTAAAACCCACTGGATGAACAAGTTCATATATTATATATATATATATATATATATATATATATATATATATATATATATATATATATATATACCTACGTTAGTTAGTTTGTTTTGTAAGCAGTGGTGGACTGGGTCTAAAATATTAATTGCCGCAATATGCTATCATTTAATTTTCATAACAAATAAATAAAACTAGCATCCTCCCACCCCCATTTCATTTATAAACACAAAATTACATTTCTTAATTACTGTGGATCTTCTGATTAGTCAAAATGATACAGTTTACAACGCGCTAAAAAAAAGATCTATCTCATAAGGAGACTTAGGAAACCTGATGCAGCTTTTAACTAATTTTTAATATTTTAAAAAATTAAATATAAAAATATATTATAATTAAGAAATAATAAATAGATGTATTAAAAATTCATTTTTCATCGAAAAATTTTTTGTTTTCAGAAAATATTGTCCATATTCATAAAAACAACTAAAAGCAAATAAAAGCATTTGAAATTAAATAATATCTTTGTTTTATTGAGTTTTGTATGTTACAATTCACAGCTGATTTTCAGGTAAGGGGGTGTCCAATTAAAAACAAAAAAAAACATGATTTGCATTCCTCAAAGCCTTGTATTTCTATTGTAATCATTAAACTAGACTCGATCGAATTTCTAGCGTTTTCATAAAATTAGTTAGTGTGGGGGGGTAATAAATATAAAAAAATATTTTTCTGCCATGACTTTAATAAAAAAAAATATTTATAATAATTTCGATCATCTGTGAATAGTTTCTGAAAGTTTCATTAACATCCGACAATTATTTATATTTTTGCAAAATTTTCCAAATTAATGTGTCATACCAAAAAAAAAACGTGCTAAAAATTGTCTGTTATTTACTAGTTCCAGTGATACAAAGTGAAACAAGGTTTTTTTAATCAAAATTTAGAATGTTCTAAATGAAGGAAAAATTTTTAAAAATAATTTAACAAAACTTTGGTCTTTCCTCTTAATAATAACATAAGCATTTAGACGATAAAATTTTGTTTTCGGCAAGGTTGACGTCTTTTTCATCAAGCTATGCTCTTTTTTTAGCGATTTCGTGAGGGTACCTACACTAAGTGATATTTGTTTCTTTCTTTATTGCATTTTTAGTTTGTATTTCTCTTTTTAAAAACAATTATATTTTACTAAGTTAGAATACAAAAATCAGAAATGAAGTTGAAGATTTATTTATCTAATTATCATTTTTAAGAGTCCTTCAGCGATTCACTAGCCCCTTCTTGACTATCCGTGCTCCTGGACTTGTGTAACGGCTGAACCAAGACTACTGCTTGATATCCTTTGAACAGTAACGACCATCTGAAATCTTGAATTGTAATTTTATCTTTAAATCCATACACTCTTGATGAAAATATGAAATTTCTTTAATGATGGCCGACACATCTGCCTATATCTTACGTCTTTCCAACCACCTTCCTTCGGCTTCGTTCTTTTTCATGCAGTGTGTATTTCTGCTCTTTTCTCTTTAGCTTTCCTTTTCTTATCTTTATATATAAAAGGCAGGATATGTGTGTGTGTGTGTGTGTGTGTGTGTGTGTGTGTGTGTGTGTGTGTGTGTGTGTGTGTGTGTGTGTGTGTGTGACGAATGCACGGCCGCAATTTTCGACGGATTTGCACCAAAATTTACATGCACATTCTCCAAGTTAGCGGGAAAGCCAAGACTGACTTTGCATTTCCCAACTCCCATCGATAGTGGAAATAATCGATTTTTTTTATGCTTCTACGACAGTTTTCATGTAGTTTGCGGCCATTTTCTACTGGCCAGAGTGAGAGCCACTAATAGGCAGGAAGATTCTATTAGCCAGCGTGAGAGCCAACAGCTGACTGACACGAATGTTAGCTAGCATGCTAGCATGCAAAAAAATCGATATCTGCATTCGTCACAAGTGGGAAAAATTTAAATCTGCATGGCACTTTACTCCAATTGGCTCATTCGCTTGCTTAAACTCAACGTTGATTCTGATTCCGCAGAACTGGGTTGGGCGTGAAAAAGTATTTGTTGTTAACATTCTTTTTTCATTCAGTTTTTCCAGTTACGAGTCCTTTTTTAAAGCTGATCGTTTTGTGTTCAGTTTGTTTAGTTCTTTTTTCATAACAGATTTTAATGTTTAGTATAGAGTTTAGAAAAAATTCGCAATGTGAGATAGGCAAGAAGTAAGGCATGTAGCAACATCAGCACGGCAAAGAGCACTCCTTTAAAGGCAAGGAAGGGCAAAAATATTTTAAGTCAAGTGATAGCGATTACTGTATGAGTCGTACGATTTTTGAATCAAGCACGGGCAACGCCGGGCCATGCTAGTGGTTCCTTTTTATTAATTCATGGTGACGAATGAAGTAATAAAAAAGAATAAGGAAGAAAAGAACCAGAATTGAGATGTACGGGAGTGGTAACCACAGCGGCGCAAAATTTGCTAACTGAATAAGACCATGATGATTTTATTACTAAAATAACTGTCTTTTTGTTTATTTATTGCATTTTATTCGATATAGGGAGCTCACTTCATCAGGGACCTACTTTCCATCGGGCAAGCTGACAACTTGGCTACTTTGCAACTATTTGTAAGTAATTGAAAAAAGTTAATGTTCCAGAAAACATTACTTGTCATAACCATAAAATACACGGTGCGCCATTTTAATGGCCTTACATGGAAGACGATATAACGTAATGTTACACGGCATGCGCAAATTTTTTAATTTCACTTTTCTCTATTAGATATATGGAAAGCATTAATGGCAGATTCCAACCTGACATTAAACGACACGCCGTATTCGTATCATCCAACCACCAACCAAAGCGACTCGGAGATAGAGAGCTTTTTGAAAGTAGCCAGATAATCAGGAGAAAAGATAGAAGGATCTATACGGACTACTCAGAAGTAGCCACGTGGAGGTCGTGAGTAATGAAAGGTTAGTAGACTATATTATACCGCTTCTTCCCGAACAGTTTCAGGATCAATACCACTGCATACATGGAGGTACTGAACCCGGGGGTCAACACCTTGACAGAGAAATTGGATAGACGTGATTCGGTACGAATCTGCTGCCTCCCACATGCTTCACGTGATCTAAGAGTGACTCGCTGATAGTTTCCACGGTTATTGTCAACAAGGAAGAGTAAGCAACAGCGTCAGAGTACTAAGGACTTCTTGAAAACCATCATCGTATTGTTTTTAAATATGCTGATTTTTTTCAACTGAATATTTATTTTTAATAAATTCATCCCAATCAAGGTGATAGCGCCACTAAGACGCAAGGGTTCAAATGAAAGAGAATGAAGAGACCGAAAATCCAATCCTAAACTAAAAACAAGGGATAAACCTCTATGCTTATTCAAAAGATAGTGGAGGAGTGTGAACTGGACGATAGGCGAACCTATCTACTCCTATTGAGGGAGAAAAAAGTAAAAAAATTCAAAGTTTATGTGGAGATGTTAAAAATATAGGATTGGATTTGGATTTAGAAGGAACCGGAAACCTAATCCTAAACGAGAAACAAGAGATAAACCTCTACGTCTGTTCAAAAGACTGAGGAGGAGTATGAATCGGACGATAGGTGAATGTATCTCTTATATTTGATTATGATAATTTCTTCTCAGTTACCTGACGTATTCTATATATTAACTTGTGTACGCAGTTATTGTTTTGCTTTAGTCTTATTTTGTCTTGCGCGTATAAATCTTATATGATTTTAAATGACCGGACCGTCCAAAAAACTTGAACCTGATTCTTTAGGCTTAAGCATAGAATTTAGTATAGAAATGATTATAGAAATGAATATTTAAACAGAAAACACGTTTTTAAACTCTTCGTGTACACTGTGATCATCCTATATTTGAATATGACACGCGTCCTGGGTAAGACGATAAACTACATCCAACAACAAGGCCTCTGGTCAGGAGGAATTGAGCAGCGTGGAACAACCTCTTAATTGCTGGTGTTCCCAGCTACACCTGGATCCTGGGTGGTAGTACCTGTTAGGGTCCCAACTATGGGCAAATAGTAACCCCCCCCCAACTGGGTTCAAAACACTTTGAAAGTGTAAAAATAGGTTTTAATACCAGCAATACTTTTTTGTTAAAAATTATTACCAGCCATACATTATTACTAGCAATACATTTTTGAAAAAATATTGCTAGCAATACATTTGGGGGATTACGAGCATTACATTTGAAAAAAAAATATTACCAGCAATATATTTTGGAAAAAGAGCATCTGTTAGGATCCAAGTTATGGGCAAATAGTTAACCCCCAAACTGGGGTCAAAACACTATGAAAGAGTAAAAATAGGTTTTAATACCAGCAATACATTTTTGAAGGAAAAAATATTACCAGCAATAGATTTTTTGAAAAAAATATATTAGCATCAATACATTTTTGAAAAAATTATTACCTGCAATAAAAGTCACGTCGGCATTAAATAACCCACTGAGGTTTTGATATGCCGTAAAACAAAACAAACCAAACCAAACCATGAATATGACAATTACGTGATTAAGAGAAAATTGTTTTACAAAAGTCAAGATGATCAGTGAACGTATCAAATACAATTCATTTTTATACAAATGAGCAACTCTGTTCATATACGTGCAAAAGTAATCATTAAATTATGCAAATAACTACCCAGAAATTAAAAAAAAAATACTTACATTGACAGAACCTTCGAAATTTTCCGTTTGGATTTTACATGTAATCAAGTCATTTTTTAAAATTTCTATCGTACAATTCTCCGTCCCAGCAATAATTTTGTATTCTTCTTTCTCAGCAGCATTGTTGAGACGTTTTCCCTATAAAAAAAAAGAAATGAAATAAACTTGCATGATTTGTATGGATAAAATTGAATCAATAATTAGCGAATTAGGTGATATACATTTTCGTGAGTAATCAAACATTGAAGAATTAATGATTATTAAAAAGACAGAACTTCTTTCGCAAGGGCGGGATGTGGCAAACCTCTCACCACCCGATCGCTACTTCCATGGAAAGTGTTTAGACGATCCTTCACGGCAAGGATCCGCCATGCAATTTACATTGTAGCAAATCACCCACACTCCCTCTGGTGAGAAGTAAGTTCCACTCGAACTGATTCTTCCCACGAACCGTTGTTCTGTGGAACTGATTCCCAAGAGAATGTCTCCCCGATCACTACAATTTAATCTGTTCAAGTCTAAGGTTAATCGTTATCTTCCTCTTCTATCCATATAAACTGCCTCTTAATGTAACCCTCTACCTCGGGTGGCACCCGGGATTGTACAAGGTGACCATCACTGTATAATAATACAAAAAACAATCGCGCATTTATCGAATGTGGTTTATTCATGAAGCAAGATCCTGTGGGTATCTATAAATATTTCTGGGAAACCACATTTATATTAATAAAAATATTATCGGGTTGAAGCAAAAAATTACTTCGTTTACGTTTCGGGTACGAAAATACAAATTAGAAGGTCAACACTGAAAATGTATTTTCTTTGCTTTACTGTAACGGCCTTCGTGGCTGAAATGGTAACGGCACGCCTAATTAAATGGTGGCTTTCCAGAAAGAAAAAATGAATGTAGGTTTAACTTCTGCTAAGAGGCGCATCTTGAGTGAAACTTCTATCGGTAAATTTATTAAACTCCGTGGAACAATAGCCTTCTGGATTGAAGCGTTAGTTTGTGAATTTGGTAACATAGCAATTGGGAGTTCAATCCTTGAGCCAGGCAGTGTGTACTTGTACTCAGCGAAGACAAGGCGAGCAATAACTGAGCAGTACCAAAACAAGAGAAGATATCCCTTGACTTGAGCAAGAGAACGAGAACAGTTTCGTTCGAAATCCCCTGTAGGATTGACATACACCTGATGAGGGTCGGAGACACAACGACAGAAACGCTATGATAACAACAACAAAGATGAGGACAATAAATCGCGTATAAATAATGTAAATAATGATAAGTCCTCATCCTAGAAATTCAGGGCTTACGACCACATCACGTTGAAACACCGGCTTCCGTACGATAGGCGAAGTTAAGTAACGTCGTGCCCGGTTAGTACCTAGATGGCATTGGAATACCAGGTTCTGCATGCTTAGATGTTCGGCTGGTGTAATGAATAATGGCTCGGAATTGTTAATCAAGGAGTTGAGTTCAAATTCCAATTGGGTTCATTATATTCACTTTCATGCAAATATCCTTAGGAAAGATATGTAATCATCTCTTCTCCTCCCAGCTATGGGTTAATTAGTAAAACTTGTATCACTAAAATCATTATTATCTTAGAAATAAAAATAAAACTGCGTACGAATATTTAGATTTCGGCATTAAATAACCCATAGAGGTTGATATGCCACTAAACAAAATCAACCAACAAACTAGAAATTCAGACAGAAAAAAGCATTTATTCATGTGTACTTAATTAAGTGACCAGCGAGTGTATATGATGACACACGACCTTACCGAAAAGGCAACCCTCAGCAACACAATAAAATAACGCTGTAGAACATTCTAACAGGCCATCAATATTTAATCACATTTTATTATTTAATTTCTTGAGATATTCTCAGAAACAAATTGAGAGGATAGCGCAAGTAATAAAATTATCGCGAAATGTTTATACTCTCTTCAGTGTGAATTTTGTTCTTTTAATTACTTAATCTACCTATAAATAATACTAGCGAGAACCTTCGGAAATTTTACAGTCCTTTTTCACAATGAAGTCTTATACAATTGTGGCCTTGAAGCACACGTGTATTTTAATCTTTTTACTGCTGATGTAAACCTTAAACATATTACCTGGTTATATTCATCAGGTCATTCATATAAAATCGGGAGCAACGTTTTCCGCTAACATGAAATGGAAAGATTACATTAATAGTTCACTGTTCCCTCCTGAATCTATCGAACTTATTTATAAGTCTACCATGCGTCCATGCTTTGAATATTACAGCCACATATGGTCAGGTGCTCCTGCTCTATACTTAGAGATTCTTGATAAGATCCGAAGAAGAATCTGCAATATCCTGACCTGGCGTTTCGAGCTCAGTCACTTTCCCACCACCGAAATGTAGTTTCTCTTTTTTTTTTTTTTTTTTTCTATAAATATTTTCATGGTAAGTGTTCTGATGAACTTTTCTCTATGGTACCTAGACCTTATGAATTTAAGCGCTGTACTAGATTGGCGGTAAGGTCTCATCGTTTTACCATTGAAATGGCTAGATGTAACCGTAAGTTCTATATTAACAGTGTTTTCTCTCGCACTTCTCGTTTATGGAACTCTCTTTCGGTTTCTTGCTTTCCAGTCAAACTTGATCTTGAAAAATGTAAATGAAATGTCAATCGCAATCTTCTGTCTGTTTAATTCCTGTTTTTTCTCTCGCCTTAAATTTTCTTCTCATATTTTTTAATACTCAATAACCCCCTTGTGTCTTAGTGGCATTATTTCCTTGCTTGGGGCGAAGTGATTAAAAAAAAGCAAATGAAAAAAAAAAAAAAAAAAAAAGTGTTAATGCTCAGTATTTTTAAAATAGGTTTTTATAAAATCTACTTCCTTTAATCATGTTGAGCGGGTCCCGTGGAAATTCTATGTTTTTTTTTGCTAATTTTTATGACTGTAAATGAAAAAGACGTTAAACGCACGAGAGCGCTATCCTCTCCTCTATCATCCCTTTCTTTCAACTTATATATACAGCTTCAACGTACCTCAAAATTAGGCTTACCGGAAGTTAGAAAAAAAAAAGGATAGAGATTTTCTCTGTCCGCTGTTGTTATACAAAAAAATTGGTGCAGGGTACAGGCAAGTACATGGCATAACGTACGTGCTAAGGAACGCTGAAACAGGCAGAATAATTATATATGGAAAAGAATTTAGAATCATTGCATACGTTGTATCATTATATAAACATTATATCCCAAATTTCACAAAAGGGTTTTTACATTTTTTCTGTTTGAAGTGGCACGTAACAATCAGTTTTCTCACGAAATTTATATCCATCTTGAAAATTTTATTTAGAAAAATACATCAATAAGTTCATATAGACAGAAACATAAATGTTTAAATGTTAAATTTTTTTCAACATTCTCATCCGGGCTTTTTGGACACACGTTACATGTTCACTTAAATAACAGTATAGACGCAAGAAGTCATTTACGAATCTTTTTAAGAGTTTTGTGTTAAAAAGCTAAGCTTAGTAAATATGTGGAATCTTCCACAACAAACCAGCCTTACGTCTTTTTAGGAAATGCACTCTTCCTATCTAGTAAGTAACAACCTACTTTCATACAAAATATCAACGAGAAACCATTGGTCAATCACAGTACATCCAACTTGCTGATTGCTCAGTTTCAACCAATCAGATCGCTCTCACGTACAGAGTCAATTTAGGCGCCAAGTCAATTCTGATCCTATCACGTGATACAGGCAGATATATAAACCCAACACGTGTAAACTCCCTAGTAGTTTCTTTTCTTTTCATCTCTCTCTGTTCCTGCTCTTCCTGATTCGAGCCTAACTTATCTACGTCACTCGTACATTTCAACACGCCGTCAAAATGTGACCCTAAAGGAACTCCCGTCTCGACTGATACAGTCAGACGTTAAATGATCAACACTTAATTCATGCAAGTATTATCTCTGGCCTCTACCTAACTTGTTCATACAATTCCAAACACTCAATTTTAAACCTTCTGATAATTCAAACCTTCTATTCATCTCCAACACATCTCACACATCCGCAACAAATATATTCACTGACCTTGATTTTGATAACTTTGTCTTTTATTGACGCTTTTTCCTCAAATTCCGGGTCGGGATAATAAACTATCGTTACGTTTTCTTTATAGGTATCCAATTGCAAAACTACCGGAATTTCAATTGATGAATTTGAGACATTATTTTGAATGCTTATATTTGGGGAAAAGCATTCTATTTTTTTGCTTTTTAAGCTACAATTGCTGGCCTAGAAAGAAAACAAAAAACAGATTATGTATTAAAATGTTATCATGAATTTTACAAGAAAAAAATGAAAACATGTTCTGTTAAAAAAAAAAACAAAGGAAGTAAAGCTTTTCGGTGAGTTTCTCTTGGTCTCGCATAAATCGTTTAATCCAGGATCAAGAAGTGCGAGAGAAGACACTATTAGCATAGAACTTACAGTTATATATTGTAAGTTCACCAGTAAAACGTTGAGACCTAACTGCCAATCTAGTACCGCAGAAAGTCATGGTACTAAATAGGAAAGCTCATCAAAACAACTTCCATGAAAAATATTTACAGCAAGTTGCTAGGTGCCCAAAGTATTTTCTCTAAGCTTATTCTTGTCTGGCACAAGGCAACAAGTGTGGAGAACCCAGCTAGTTTCGAAGCCTCTTCAATAATAATGGCCTGCGAAGCTAGCTTGTTAACCCTTACTCTACATCGTGCTGACAATCACTATTGTATAATCATTTACTACAGAAATATGATTCTAAGAATACCATGGATAGAACATGTGAGCAATTAGGAAGACTTAAGGAAGTACAAGGAAACGTATAATCAGAAAGAGAGAATTGAAATTTTTGGGACACATAATAAGGAAAGAATAATTTAACACTCGCAGGATATAATTGAATGCAAGCGAAACAGAGGAAAACAGACAGTAACTTACTTAACGTTAGTCTTTACGAACAGATTTCTGAACAGAAACAAAAGATGTGGTAAATGAGTAAACTTACTTGGAGCGAAAAAGAAACAGGAAGTTGTAGAGAGCCATGATCACCCACGTCCTGAAAAAAGAACATAAAAGAAGCTCACCATAGTTCCAAAGTCACAACAGTGATTTACCCAGTGAGGATCGAAATCATTATAGTAATGATGGTCTGCACAATTAATACACACCCAACGAGAGTGGACTGAAAAGTTCATAGGCTAACTATGAAGGAGTGATGCTAAAGCTGTGACATCATATATGAATTAATTTCAACTCTTCTTATTAATAAAAAAAACTGCATTTTTTTCTTTTCTGACTTCTGTTCAAAGAAAACTGTTCATCCTGTTGATAAAAAAAAAGTCATCAACAGCGAATATGACATCCTCATCACTACTATACAACCATGTGGTTTTTCATGCTGGGGAACAGATGGACAAACGTGCTCGCAATAAGACGTAGTGTCAAAAGGGCGGTTTTTTTCACTCTTCGGCAATGTTTATTGTTTTAAAAAGTGATGATTAGAATGTTAATAAAACCTAAACATATCAAAGTGAATTTATTTATTTTTTTTTGTTCTTGAGAATTTACAAAAAAAATAAACACTATTTATTACGTTGTTTATTTACACTATTTAATATTTATCATTTATTGGAATGATTGTCAAAGCATCGGCTAATTGCCAATTGATTCAAATTTTATAAAATGGTAAATAATAAGGATTTCCTTATAGATGGTTCACTTATTTTAATAATTTAGCAAATGTTTATAAATAGATGGATAAAAAATTTTCACATTTAATTCTTTATAAATTGGTAAATAATAAATATTGCATTGCATTAGTTTTAATTGTATTAGTTTTTAATGTTGTAAATATAAAATTATATATATATATATTCTTGTAAATAATCTAATAAATAAATAGTGTTTAATATTTTTGTTGTAAATTCTCAAGAACCAAAATTAATTAATAAATTCACTTTCATCATATGTTTAGGTTTTATTCCAATTTTAATCATCGCTTTTTAAAACAATAAAATTGCTGAAGAGTACAGGTAGTTAAAAAAAAGTGGCGTCATTGGAAAAATTCTCCTTTTGATTCTGTAATATTTTCACGTAGGTTGTTTTGGTATGAAAGACAAGAAGATCCGCTTGACAGTTGTTTATTCCAAGTTCACACGCTCAAAAAATGTATGCAGTGTCTGCGTCTCACGATGAGCTCTCGTTATTTATTTCACCACATCAGAATCATGTTCAAGAATCTCCTGTATCAAGGGACGTAACTCGTGGTTAACTAGTTTATACGCACATATTACATTTTCATCATTAAGACGACAGTACAGATACTTGTAGCAATGTGGTTAGTAACAGGCACACAAGAGAGACAAAACAAAACGAAAGAACAAAATATGCAACTATATGTATATTGCATAGTAACATAGGTGAAAACAAAAAGAATTCCTGTGGATAAAATTAACAGTTCGGTGGTTTTGACATACAACTTAAACGTCGCAACTTTGATGAACTGTTTCCGTTTTTTGTTTTTTGTTGTTACTGAGCTCTGTTCCTCAGTCGAATGTTTTAGTATCTGTTCACCTTATTGTACTGCTCCAGGCACTACTTGTTGATTTTAATTTTCGTCAACGTCGTCCATGTCTGGTGGCGGTGGAACTGTGGAGGTATTCGTGCTGTGGTGGACAAAGAGTCCAAACGATGTCTCCCAGCATTTCAGTAGACTGTTTTTCACGGTTTTCAGCGTTTTTTTTTTTTTTTTTTTCAGTGAGGCCATTCGCTTCTGGGTAGTGTGGGGATGATGTGGTGATTTTGAAGTCCCACTTTGCTGCAAATTGTTGGTATTCCTCTGACATGAAGCACGGCTTTCATGCCAGCAGTAGTCCATGAATACTTCTTGTGGAACTCCGAATCTACTAAAGCTTTGTTGCATGGACTTAATCACAGCTCCACTGTTCTGCGACAGTATTTTGTATACATCCGGCTAATTGGAGTATGCATCCACTACAATGGGACATCCAATATTGTGATGGCACAGATTTGCTGTTACTTTCTCCCAGGGCTGCGTGGGTACTTCCTAGCTTAAGAGTGACTGTTTCGATTGCGCATCTCTATACGTTTGTCAGATGTCGTAATTCTGGACGCTATAATCTATTTCTTTGTCTTTCAGTTCTTCGCACGCGCTCGCTCGCGCGCGCATGTGTGTATGTGTGTGTGTGTGTGTTTTCGGGGATATTAATATTGACTCTTTTGATTAAGTTAAGTCAGACGCAAGCGTGTTTTCCTACTATGGGCTGTACGTTCCTTGGTGTTATAATAAAATGAATTTTATGGGACCTACCTTTTCTTTGAGTTATTATGTCCACTTTACCGGCTACTGGGACTATGACGTTAATCTTACTTTTACTGAGAATATTTTGATCTTGATTTTCATTTTGTCTAAATAATTCAGCAGTAGGATGGCATCGTTCCCCGAGTCAAGTTCAGTGCCCACTGTGATTCGGGTGTCGCATGTGCGTTCAACTACATTCGAATGATCGTAGTCGTTTTCGCTTGAAGCAGATTCGTTTGCACAGTTTTCTTTGTTCGGAACATATTTTTAAAATGTCCGACTTTCAGACACTTCCTTTTGCCGGGTAAAGTTCTATCCATGTGGCGATATCGCCAACTGTCACATTCGTTTTTTGTTTGCTTTTGTTTTTTTTCTTTGGTGTATATTTCCCGGTGTCCAGCCGTATTTCCGTGTTTTGTGGGTGGACTGTATCGTGCTTACTGAAGACGTGTTGGAAACTTTTAGGGTACAGCTTGTAGCTATTTCGTTATTTTTGCAGACATTTCCTACAGATTGAATTGTCTAAGTTCATTAGTTTTTTACTTCTTATCTTGTCACCCCGGATTCCAATTATGACACGGTCACGTAGCATACTATCATTTAAATATTCATGCTCACATCTTCGTGCTTGTATGCCTGAAAGAAACGACAGGAATGTTTCTCCTTCTCGCTATGTCCTTGTGTTAAATCGATAAATTTCGTAGGCTATATCTTTGTTGCCTTGGACATATTCCTAGAATTTTTTCACTCGTGCCTTATAATTTCCTTTTTCTGTGTCAGTGAATGTTAGGGCAATGTATACCTCTGTTGCATTTTCTCCGGTCATGTGCAAGAACAAAACACATTTTATTTTGTCTGACTTAGTCATTTTTCTTCTGATACCACAAGGTAGAATTCAAATTTCTGTAACCAGTTTCTCTATTTTTCTTCAACATTTCCTTGCCAGGACATCTGCGTGGGAGGTTGAATAATATCCATTATTCTATATGTTGATTTTCACTTCTGACACCGTGTTATATTTCCACGTGGGGAGTTTCGGTATGAAAGACAAGGAGATGCGTTTTTCAGTTGTTTATTCCAAATTTATATGTCCAAAACTGTATATACAATGCCCACGTCTCGCGGTGAGCTTTTGTTTTTGTTTTGTTTTTGTTTTTTGTTTTTTTGTTCTAATTTGGTTTTCTTTTTGTTGTTTTTTTTTTTTACCACGTCAGAATCTTGTTCAAGAATGTCCTATATCAAGGGATGTAACTCATGGCTGTGGCACCTTGCATTATTAGAAATATTCATAGAAATATGATTTAATTTTTTTTTACTCGGTTTACTAAACAGGTTGTTGATTTTTTTAAAACGGAAAATAATTGAGTTGAAAATAATTCACTAAGATTGTACTTAGACGATCCTAAGGAAAGAAGAAGGAAGGGGAAAGAGAGGAAAAGAGAAAAAGCAAAAGAGAGAGGTCGAGAAATACAAAAAGCGGTCATTAACAAAAACATGAGTCAGAAAGATATCTTAGCTAGCATGTTGACCGAATTTTTTTAAAGACAATTGGAAGAATAGAATTAGAAATAATAAAAAGAAAGAAAGGGAAAAGACATGATATCAAAACGGGCCGCTTGATGAAAACCAGATATCGGTCAAAGCATCTAGCCTACTTTTGCGTAGAAAGACATCTTATCAATTTGGATAAAGAGAAATTTTGGGAACAATGAAAACGAAATCTTAATCAGAGAAAAGTGTCTTTTGGGTTGAGGGGGAGTGACCGGTGGAACGGTATACAGATTCTGACCTGTTAAAAATTAGAACCCCCACATTGACGAGTGAAAGATGTTTTCAATTCAGATAAATTAAGATTTTCTGACTGCCGGGTCTGACAAAAAACAAGAGGTGAAAAAAACGATTGTCTCAGATCACAGATGGCGACAATATTCTTTCCTGAAGTCACAACTAATTAGCGGCAGGCTGTGTTGACAAAACCCAGGTGAGAAAAAGCCAAGATTATCATTTTTCGTACGTGCGAAAAAGGCCAACTTAGATTTTGTTTTTTTTTAAAACAAGAACGATGTAACCACGCCCGAAGGGAGGAGAAAGGATGCTCGATCAATAACAATTGGTCGGAAACGGTCACGTGATCTGCAGAAAAGAAGAGAAAGAAATGCCCGATCAGGAACCATTGGTCGAAAAACGGTCACCTGACATACGCGCCTCCCCACCAAAAGGCACTGTGAGGAAGTAGGGGTGAAAACAATAGCGATAATGAGAAATCAAAAATAATGCGACTTTTGGAATTATCGAGAAAACCCCTGACGCCGACAGACCCACCCCAGTTTGTTGCGGCATCAATAAAAGCAGGACCCCAGTCGACAGAAATCAGTTGGAGTTGAGAGTTGCAGCTGGACCGCGGGCAGGGATAGAGCCTGAACGCGGGCATCGGGCCCGATTCACTCGCCCCTTTGCGGGCAAAAGAATCCTCAGACAAGAAATCCTTCCAGCCCAAGTCGAAGACAGAAGAGTTCAGCCCCGGACGGCAGCGAGAAGAGACCACCTCGGACGACAGAGAGTTGCGGCTGAGTTGCGGCAAGAAATCCTTCCAGCCCAAGTCGAAGACAAGAGAACTTCCAGCCCAAGCAGACGAAGAAGAAGATTACTCGAAAGCCGCAGAGAAGTTGCAGCCAAGTCGAAGACAAGAGAAGTTGCAGCCAAGTCGAAGACAAGAGAAGTTGCAGCCAAGTCGAAGACAAGAGAAGTTCTATCTTAGTCGACGAAGAAGAAGAAATACAACTCAAGTCGAAGAGAAGAATCAACTGCGAATGATCGATAGAAATTAGCCCCAGTGTCGAACTAAACCACACTCCGACATACACAATTCTAAAGAGTAGGCAATTCGAAATCTTTAGGTTGTGTGATAGAAGCTTGTGCCATAGTCCACAGAGCGGGTCGGGAAATAAGAACAATTTTTCTTTATGTAACGGACATTAGATATAAAAAGGTTGTCACCCTTTTTATCAGTAATTTTTTGTCTCGTGAGTTTTTTTTTTTTTTTTTTTTATTTGTGTTTTGCCACCCCGTCGGACTCAACTTGTATCGGCCCCAATCCCTGCTGGTCCCGTCTGTCTAAGATCTAAACACAGCGTGGGTAGACAGACCGGAGATCAGTACAGTTGCTTCAGTAACCAGGTATTGGAAGCGAGTTGGGAAAGGCGAGGCTGGTGATCATCCAACCAAGGGGTTGGAGCGGCACGCTTGGAACCAGGAGGAGCGACCAGGAGGAGCGACGTCACAGTTGGCGCCGTAACCAAGGGATTCGACCCTGGGCCAGGTGTGTAACCGTCACATGGCTAACTAATTTTTACGGACATACTACATACACTATGTATTACTGAGGGAACGTTTGTTCATATTTGATGGTGTGGCCCTTTTGACGATATTCAATAAACACAATGCTTTTTGCATCTAAAAACACTGAGGCTATATCCTTCGCTGCAGATGAAATGACCATGGCCTTCTTTGGAACAAGTGAAAATGAGTGTTTCTACTGTATGTTCTCTGGCTAAAATTGATGAACCCAACACATATTCTGCGTTAGGAAACTTTCAAGGAAATCAGATGGAGCTGTCTCAGACAATGTCAGGTTTTCTTGTGATGTGCTCAGGCTAGTGCGCTTTTGAAAAGGTGTCTAAAGACGTGGCACCCACCGAACAGAAACCTTCATTATGCCAAGTTCATTGTACAGAATATTCTCACGGCAAATAATAATAGCACTGGCTATTTGGTTTATAGTCAATTTCCTGTCATCTACCATCATCTGCTTTGTTTTGGTTTGGTTTTTACAGTAATGTTCACCATGTACAAGGCCCGAGCGTCACTCAAGGTAAAGGGTTATATTAAGGGATAGTTTATATGGATAGGAGGGGAAGATAACGGTTGACTCTAGAATTGAACAGGTTAAGATTGTAGTGATCGGAGAAATATCCTCTTGAGAGTCTGTTCTATAGGGCAGTGGTTCGTGGGAAGAAGCTTTTTGAGTGGATGAAATACGGAGGGAGTGTGGGTGGTTTGCTACTATGTAAGTGCCATAGTGGGTCCTAGCCATGAAGGTCAGACTTGGTGGAACCAGGAGATACAGTTCGGCCGAGCACTTTCCATGGTAATAGCGATAGAACAATGAGATACTCGCCACATCCCGCCTGAGAGAGATAGGTTGCAGTGTGGAAAATAATTTTTTCAACAAGGACTCGGAGACCCTATCAAGACTGGAAAGTGAGGTCTGGGCAGTTCCTGTCCATATATGGCAACAGTACTCCTTTTTCGGCTTGATCTGGCTCTTATAAAGGTAGAGGATAGCATGAGGAGTCAAGTACAGGGAGCCGATCATTTTACTTGCATCTTTAGCGATGAATCGTATATAGTTCCACTTAAAGTTGGGTGTGAGTTTGAGGCCCAAAATCCTCTCAAGGCACGGGACATCCTCGAGGGGACACTCGTTCATTGTGACTAGCGATAGTTCGGGGTCTGATCTGCGGTGATGGAATGTAACCAGTTTGGTTTTAGAGACATTGAATGTAACCAACCAGTTTTCTCCCACTGGGAAGTTAGATTGGAAGGGAGGTCAGTTGCCAATCTCCAATCGTCAAGAGTTTTAGAGGTGCACCCGTATATCGTCGTACCATCGGCATAGACGTTTACAAATGATCGGAGTATATTCTTGGGTAAATCATTTATGTAAATCAGAAAGAGGTTTTGTCCAAGAAGTGATCCCTGGGAGATGCCTGCGTTGAGCACCAGGGCCTCGGAGGACTGGCTGTTGTCAGACCTGTTAATAACTACTAACCAGACCTTGGGTCATCTTCAAGATTCTCCCCTCTCCCTCTGTTAGGATGGATTTTATAATAGAGAAAACCGTTCCTAGTTGGAAAGCTTGTCGAAGGCCTTCGAGATAACTAATTCTAACATCGTTGCTGTATGTGTGTCGTCAAGCGCTTCACTACTTCTGTGTGTAATGGTAGTGAGGACATCAGCAGCGGATCGGGCTGATCGGAACCTATACTTCTCGTCGCACAAGAGGTTGTTTCTATCCAGGTGCTCGACGACCTTCTTGTTGATTAAGGCCTCAAAAAGTTTACTGATGATACTGAGGTGACTAATGGGTCTATACTGGGAAGGGGAGCATCGGTTGCCCGCATTCTTAAAGACCGAGCATACGCTTGCTACCTTCCACATGATTGGGAAAGATTTCTTCTTAAAACCGCGGTTAAATAACTTTACTATGATCGGGGATAAGTATGGGTTGGTATTCTTAAGGACGAACACTGGAATTTTGTCTGGGACAGTGGCTTTTTTGGGAGTCAAGGCTTACTGAAATGAGTATATTACTGAAATTATATTCAGTGAGATGTGGGAAGTTGGGAAGGGAATGGCCTTTGGTAAATCGGAAGATGTCATTGGTTTGGAGTAAATCTGGACACTGATTAGGGGGTGGTCTGACGTGGCAAAAAGGTCGAAGAGGTGTGCCTGTTGTCCCGTCGCACCCGGAACTTGGGGGGTGGGGGTTCTTCAATGATCTGGGTTAGTTCATATGCGATGGAGAAGTCTCTGCAATATCTGCCTTCCTCGTTGGTTTTGTTAGAGTGGACAATCCACTCTTTGTGGTGAATACTGAAGTCGCCGCATATGTGAAAGTTGTGCAAGGAAAATTCATTGACGATATTGTCAAACTTATCTGTTTATTCGATCGAAGATTACTGACTCTTCACCCTGAGAACAATACAGGGAAAAGATGTATGCGGTACTATGGATAAGTGCCATGAGGAAGCATATATATGGGAAATCAGGGTCCTCGTTTTTTGTGTCCATGCCACAGGAAAACCTGTCCTTGACCGTGGCAATTTAGGTGGTCGTATTTTGTTATAATGGGTGAGTAGCCCGGGATTGTGAGCTCCTGCAATGGGATTGAGGCATTGATACCCGTATCTGTAACAGCAAGATTTAGAAGATGGAGTTCCACTTCTGGAATGTTGGAATATAGATCCCTTACATTGGTCTAATTGATGGTATACCTGGGGTTTACTTGCTGAACACGATCAATGTTTTCCTCTGTGGTAGCAGTTGCAGGATGTCCAGACCTTGGGTCATCTTCAAGATTCTCCCTTCTCCTCCTAAATGCAGCTGCTCGATTTTGCACTATTGATAAAGCTAAGACGTCACCCTCTAATATAGCAACTATGACAGCACGAATACCTTTGGGTGATAAACCCTTTTCTGCATGTACTTGGTAACACCATGATACCAAATTTTGTGCATTTTCAAGAGAAGTCGCTACTAGTTACTTCTGAAGTTTTCTTTGAACAGGCAGATGTCAGTTTTTCTAGAAAGAAACAATACAGTCTTTAAAAAGACGAGTTGAAATTAATGCAGCAAGATTTCACAGTTCTAGCATTACTCTTTCATAGTCAATCTATGAACTTTTCAACCTACCTTCGTAATACTCATTTGCAAGGCACCTAAAATATTTAACAAGCTAAATATAGAACATAAAAATGTACAAATATGGGGTTTTCGGTGACGATCACATTCACTGAAGTAGTAACAATCAGTGAGATTATCTTCTGAGGCATTATCCTAAGTCTAAGCACATTGTTTATATGTTATAGGTCAGTGGTTATTGTGCTGGTCGACCAAGCCATCGACTGAGAGCTCATTCGTCATGGATCCTCTTTATATGTAACTTCATGCCCTGGTCAATAAATTTCCGTTGTGTACGCGGATGTTTACTTAAAAAGAAAAATAATAGGTACGGATTTAAAGAAAAAAATGAAACTTACTGAAAAATTTGAAGAAAGAATTTCAGCGCTATGTATGTCAGGCGTGTTTTTCATTTTAAATGTCAGCAGGCGTCCACCCCTGATAAAACAGAACAAATTAAAAGACGATAAAAAATAACACTAGGCTGCAAGGGATTACTGAAAGCGAAAGAAACGGCGAGGACAATAAAAGAACGGGGTTAAAAATAACACTAGGATGCAAGGGGTTACTGAGAGTGAAAGAAACAGAAAGGACAATAAAAGAACAGATTTAAAAAACAGAAAATGACGATTGACGTCGTATTTTTGAAGATAAAAAACGTAAAGAAATTTCCATAAACGAAAAGTGCGAGAGAAGAAACTATTAGATGAGACCTAACTGTCAATCTAGCACTGCGCTTATATTCGTAAAGTTGAGGAACCAATCAGGAAAGCTCATCAGAACAATTACCTTGAGAGTATTTGTAGAAAAGGCAGAGGGAAGCCAAGATTCCAGATCAGGACGGTTCTCACTGTGTCCTGTGAGTGTCATATTCTTCAAGTCCTCTTTCCTTATTAAGACATCTACGTTCATATTAATAAACGCTCTTTTCCCCAGAGTTCAAATGTACTTTAAATTTTGATGTGAGTTATGCGAGTTGATATTTAATTTATGTGAACATTTTATGCCATGTCTTCTTCGCGTACTGCCATCATATCAGAAATATTCCAGGGAACGAGGATGTTAAATGTTACTGTTGTTCTTAGAAAACGTTTCTTTAATTAAATTCTAAGTTTTTTACCCTTTAAATAATTTTCCGAACACCCCACCTTTTATTAAGGCTCCCCGTTTATTTAATACTGAGAAAAAATCTAACCCTCCCACCACCATTAAGACGGTGAGAAGAGGTTTATTGTTCCACTGAGCTTCACAGTTGTTGTAACCTAGAGAGGGTTACTGAATGTGGAATAACCAAAATGGAGGTTGGAAATGAAATGGTAATTTTATAGCATCAACAAAATACAATACTCGCCAGCGGCGTGAAGTAGGTAAACCACTGCTAGTTGTGGACTACTTAGACAGCATATTACCTCCACTTACAATAGTGTCCAACATATTTATGAGAATTGGGACTTACACATTAGTGTTCATAGATACAGTATATAGCAATAGTTAACGCTAAGTACTACTAAAATGGATACTTTTTTAAACAATGGAAGCGAAATATCGCCCCCACCGTTTTAAAATATTTGCCAAAAATCAGGGAATTATCAGATTCAAACAAAATTTTCAGGATTTATTCATTAATGAATGAATATTTTACTGAATATGTTATTTTATTAAAAACTTTTGGAAAAATATTTTTTGATAGTATGTTTCACCCAATCCCCACCTCTTTTCGATATCGCGTGTATACTTTTTAATTTAGGGGAGGTTCAATTTTTTTTACAGTTACATAAAAAGAAATACCCGAAGATATTATTTCAGTAAAAAATTTATGAAATATTGAGTGTGAACATATGGAAAATTCAGCCTGCATCTTGCCAAAAATAATTCAGTAAAACACAAAAAATATTTTTTTAAGAATTGGTGCTTGTATAATTTGATAAAACATGTTATTTTCTTTCAGATTCGACAGAAAAAAAAAACTTAATTGTTTTTCTTTAATTACATGTCATTTTTCAGTGCAATTTTGAAATTAATCCCGTTGCTGTTCGTCACAAGAGTTTATTTTCTTAAATAAATTCATGTTTGAAGATTTAAAAAATGTAAAGTTCAATGTTATTTTCGAGTGTGAACCTTTTTTAAAAGAATTTTATTTTATTTTTTTTTTTTTTCTCTTAGCAACGGTTAGATTAATCTTGGTATGGATGCAAAAAAAAAAGAATTAATTCTGATATCTCGCGTTGACTGATTACTATACAATATTGGAGGATATGATATTAATGATATTAATATGATATTAATCTCTAATCCGTTTAGTCAGTATAAAAAATAAAATTATTCATTATACTAAGTTTAATAAAAGCGTATAAAATTAAAAAAAATTCTATCCTTAAACTATTGGTTAAAGAAAATTTAGTTTTAAACATAATTAACAAATCTTTGTTTATCGCACTGCTGGTCTTCCTTACTTCTTTAGGATTTATTTGTACCTTTTCCCGCGCTTTTTTTTTCTTTCGACTGTGTCCTTTGACCTCAAAGGCTAGTGTGCGTAAATAATACGTCAAATTCATCCTGTTTTAAGTAAAAGATAAGCCTTACTTTCAGAAAATTCAGTTAATTATTCTTTAAATTTGCTAATAGCCTTCGAAACACATCACCAGGACAAGTATTGGATTTTAAATAAATTTGTTGTTTACATTTTTCGTTACAATGGCGGTGAAAAAAGTACTAAAGCTTTAAAAATACCTCAAAAGTTTATTTATAGTTCATTTTTCTTTTCATGCAAATTAGCTTTAGACCATTATCTTTCAAATAGAACTGATATTTAAGTTCAAAGAAGGCATTTAAAATATTTAAAATGTTTTTTGTTTTTGTTTTTTTTGGTGGGGGGGTCTTTAGAAAGTCCCTGATAATACCTAGTTAATATATTGCATGGAAATTTGAAGCTTGTCGGGACGATGGGAAGTTGCCGTCTCAAAGTCAGGGGTCAAATCAGTCATTTACACAAAGGCTCCGAGTGGCACTTCCGGCAGCGTTTTTAAAATACTCGAAATAAAATGCAAATTATTACTTGACCACTGACAACGCTTCCCTCGCATTTTTGAGGGCCTTTTTTGTGTGTGTGAGCCAGCACCTGCTTAAAGAAATCTATAAATATAAACCGTAAAGCCAAGGAAAAGTCAGTTGGAGATATGGATTCGTCGTTGTCAACTCAAAGGGATTACTAATCAACTTAATCAACATTTCCCGCTTTTCTGATGTAGATTCTACAACAAAATTGGGTACGAACTTTTCCATTTTTGATGGAATTTATTAAACACATCACAAATGTGTGTATGTGAACCTTTCCCTCTTAAGGGTTTATTTAAACACACCTCAAATGTGTCCTTATGAACATTACCCTTTCAGGAATTTTATTAAATACATCACACGATATAGCAAGCATCCAAATAAATTGTTATTTGTTGTTAAAAATATCTTTATCTTCAGCTTCATTTAAAATTAATTTGTTTAATGCATTGCTTCACCATTACATTATTACGTCTGTTTCTATGTACGTGGGGTCAAGAACGTTTTATTCCAGCCACAGCCCCCGGAATAATTTGTAATCATTGTTACTACTCTATATTAGATTGCACCACCAACAATAATATATTACCTTCTGCACCCAATAACCCCACAACATGTTTAAAACAGGTGTAATCTTTTTTTAAATAATAAGTATATTTTTTATTAATTATTAGTTAATAATAATAATACTTTTCCTGTTCGAAAACGTATGAAAATTCCTCAAAATGCATTAATGCAAATATATCCTGATTTAAAGTATGAAAATAAATTATTTTATGATAGTGATATAAGTTTTACTTCTTTACATCAAAAGAGAAATTTCTTTCATAAATTGTACTTTGAATACAAAATTAATAATCGCATTTATTTCAAAATACGTAACGGCAGCTAACCAGCGTGCATCTATATATTAACCATAAATTCTTATGACACATATAGCCTCTTCACTTTTCAAGTAGTTGTTTAAAACAACTTCTAAAGAAGTGCTGTGAATTGTAAAAATGCATGTTGTGTTATGCATATTTAAATTTATTTAATAATGTTGTTATGCTGTATTATAAATGTTTATTAATTTTCACGAACATATTGTTAGAATATAATATGCAAGCGTTTTTTTTTTAACATATGCGAATTGATATAAGAATGTGTATCGAAAAAAAAAACACTGAATTTCTTATTAAAAACACCGTAAAAACAGAAAAACGGCTCTAACTAAAGAAGCTTTTATTTAATCTTAATGAAATTTGGCACTGCACTCGGCAGTGTTCAAATGTATAATATGGTTCTACATTGATTGGGGTATTATATATCGTTTAAGCTGCATCTCAGGAACACATATACATGCATACAAGGTTAGAGTTTTAGTATTCTATAAATGGATGTGAGTATATGTAAGTAGATATATATGGAGATGTCTTTATATATGTGTGTGTGTGTGTGTGTGTGTGTGTGTGTGTGTGTGTGTGTGTGTGTGTGTGTGTGTGTTTTGGTATGTATGTATTCATATATATCTGTATATGGGTGTGTATGTATGTATGTATGTATAGTCGACGGATAAAGGGATACATTGTTTATTTGTTTAGATGGGTGTATGTAATTGTATGGAGATGTAAGGCTTTATGTATATATGTTTATGCGCACGTATGTGTATGTCCGTATGTATATATGTGTGTAAATGTATATATATGTAGGAGTGTATGTATGTATGTATATATATATATATATGTGTGTGTGTATGTGTATATATGTATATACACATATATGTATATGGATATGTGTATGTATGTATATGTGTGCATGGGTATATGTATATGTATGTGTGTACACGCCTATATGTATGTATGTACGTGTAAATATATGTTGTTGTGTATGTGTGTATACGCATGTGTTTTTGAACATAGAAATATAGGTCCTTGCTAGATTAGATAATCGTTATATTTGGGGTTTTTTATATGTTTATATTTGATTTGTAACCTGTAGACGATATTAATTTTGTCAAATTTTCTTAATTACACAGCGGTCCTTTTATAAATGCCTTTCGGTTTTAGTTTCCTCGCCCCATCTCTCTCCCCCACCCCTTTTTCTTTTCTTTTCCTCTTTCTCTCTCTCTCTCTCTCTCTCTCTCTCTCTCTCTCTCATCTTCTGACCTTTAAGATTATATTGTCTATTGTGTGTGTATGTCACCACAAAATGTATCCTTTCCGGTTACATCTTTAATGTATTAGACATCCGACAACATTCATATTTCTCTCACTTAAACCGTCTTTGACTCTTCTCTTTAAAACTTCTCCCTGTTAAATTGTAATCCCCCCCTCTTCATCTTTAGACCTTCCTGTTCTTCTCCTGTTCTTCTCTCGTCTGTTACCCTTCCCTATAGCCTTCATTTACTCTAACATTCGTCCCACACTCTCATACATACACTGTCACTAAATTTTATTTTTATTCATTGTTTTTTCTGTTTTCTTTTTGAATTTGTAGGTCTGATGAATTGGATCGTATTTACGATTCCAATGGAATAAATTATGACCATGGAATATTAGTGTTTAAGCCTTTTTATTATATCTTTACTCTGTCCTTGACATTGAGTTCTACCTGGATTCTATCCTCTTGGAATTTTTATACAAATATATATGTATGTGTATGTATATTTATATATTTTAGATATATTTACCACTAATATTATCAATATCAATATCTACATATATATATATATATATATATATATATATATATATATATATATATATATATAACCAATTTGTGACTAGTAGGGATAATTCCAAGGAGGATATTAATCTAGAGAGCTCAATGTAAATTATAATAATAATAAATCAATAAGATCCATTTCGGATAACCAAAACGGATTTTTAAGGTTTTCTTCGTGATTCATATATATATATATATATATGTGTGTGTGTGTGTTTAAATGTGTATTTCATATACTAAGGCAGGATATTACACAAGGTAGATTTTTCACGAGGGGAGCCCCATACACATCGTATGCATATGGGAAAAAGACAAAAATTGCCCAGTACCAGCAACCACTGTCACCCTGGAGTCAATATTACACTGACTCTTTTATTGTCGCGGGTTTGGAATCCTCGGCACCGAGTGCCTTGTCTCATCTTAAATGAGGAGAACAGTTTACTCCACTTCCCGCCAAAAGCGAGCGCTTGTGCCAGTTAAGTATGTGTATTCGAGTCTGTGCGTTCGCATGTATATGCGTAAGTGCATTTAGCCGTGTTTTTGTACACGTAGATGTCTGCGTGGATCTGGATCTGGATCTGGATCTGATCTCTCTCTCTCTCTCGATCTCTCTCTCTCGATCTCTCTCTCTCGATCTCTCTCTCTCTCTCTCTCTCTCTCTCTCTCTCTCTCTCGATCTCTCTGCCCGAGTGGATATATCTGGAAGTGTATTCTGAGGGTTCAGAATTTTGTACTCTCAATTCCAAATCATACAACACCTTAGAAAAAAAATCTTTTTACTATGAACTTAAAGAAACACTAACAATAAAATAAAACATTGTTTACCAGTAATAACTTGAGTTTGAACCAGTCAATTCAACATCTGGATTTTCAAGATACTCAAATGGTTTGAAATATTTCACATAATTCGAAATAAATGTCAGGTTTGCTTTTTTGGACTTGACCTCAGGCGAAATGCAATATATTTTACCTGGGGTATTTGTGCTGAAACAAAAAATAAAATACATTGAATTTTTTTTCAATTATTTAAAAAAAATTCTACAAAAACTCTTAAAACAATTTATTTCACATTTCATTCAGCATCTTGAAATTTGTAGGCAATATTTATAGTGGGTTGGGCCTTAAAATAAACATGGATTACACATGGATGATAATAACGAGGAAACACACGGGTAATTTAAAAAAAACAAGTTACGGAATTTATTCACGTATTTACACGCTTGAAGTAGCTCGCTTCAGAAAAATAAAACAAAATTCTTAAAGTTCGTAGTTTTAACGTATTGTCATGAACAGGAAATGTTCATACAACAGATTAAATGATTTGACATAAAATAATATTCAAGAATGTTTAAGACAAAGGTAAGAAAGTTCGTTGCTCACCGAAGGGATATATGGTTGCATACGCTCAAAAGTAGACGAAAAGTGATAATTTGAAATACGTTTCTTGAATTGTTGAAAGAAAATTCTTTGAAGTGTCCCGTGACGATTAGAGACCGATAATATAAATGGCGAGTAATTTTACACTGGCGTGTACTTCAACGCTGGTCGCGAAAAACTGAAACGAAACCTTTCACATGACTATAGATACTCGTCTGATTAATTTAATTTTTTCCCTCATTTTATATCAAAAAGAATTTCGCGTGGGCTCGCTACTTTTTTCTCTTCTTAGTACACCGGCTAATTTCTGTGAAGGCAAAGTTTTCATTGGTACAAAAACAATTTCACATTGGCTCTTGAATTTATTTCCTCCTTCTCGGCTCACTGGTTAATTTCTGGGAAAGGCAAAATCTCACATAGGCTCGCGATTTTCTTTCTTTCTTGTTTCTCAGTCCTCCGAATTTGATGGAAGTGGGTGAAAAATATATTATTTCGCACTCACTACACATTCAACAGCGGTTTGCTAAATTGTTTAAGAGTTCGAAATTTAACCTTCCTTACCATAATTCGAATACTAACCAAAGTTGCCATAGCCTGAAATGCCTACAACGTCCGATAGCCACGCACATGTAGTTAACTCAAACAGCTTCCTTTTGTTTTTGACGTGGGTTTGCGTTTTCTTACATTCGTGTTGTGGATCCCGCGTGAAAAATAGGTATCCAATAAATGACAAACGCAAGTATTTAAGCTAAGAAATTAAATGTATTTACACAAAATACAAAAGGTAATGCTGTTAGTAAAATCCAGGAACACGGTTAGTAGCAAATACAGATAGATATATACAGTCTCGAAGTAGGACTTCCTTAGAGTCTACGTGCTTGTAACTGACTTCTACAACAGGTTACTTCACTCTATCCGACACCCTACGACTCCGGTACGACTCTTGTACGACTCCGGTACGACTCCTCTTTTCTACCTGACTGTGGCTATTTTATGGCAGCAGGACGAGTCCATTATATCCGAAAAGGGTGGACACCCCATAATAATTCGAAAGCAAGATTTTAAAGAAAACTTACAACACCCTGAAGAACAAAGCTAATTTTGACCTGTGTATTGTTTGCGCATGCTCCTGAGTTGTAGATATTCTAATAAATCTTCACTCTTAGGCCATCTTGTGACGTAATAACACTCAAATGTTGAGCTGTTACTATTCCTAATAAGCATACATTCTGTCTTCTTACACTTGATGGTTAGTCCTTCATTCTCGGTTTGCTTCACTGCCTTTTCTAACATTTCCTGCATTTTAATTGCTTTGTCTACCATAAACACGGTGTCATCTACGTGTCTTATGTCGTTAAGATGGTGTCCAATAATAATAAATCCGCGTAGGACTTCTACCCAACCCTCACCTTAGGCTATACAAAATATAGTAATTATTTTTAGAAGTCAATTTATGTACGGCGAACGTAGGGTCTTAACCTTATCCTTTCATATACGCCTGAGTTAATTCTCATAAAAGTTATAAATAATAAAAATTATTTCTTACATATTGTTCATGTTTTTTTAGTTTTCGTTTTTTTTTTAGTTTTTTTTTTTTTTTCTTTAATCCACAAATTTTATTTACTGGTTTTTTACCTAACACTTGTCTTCACCAATTCTGTTAATATTTTTGTGCCTTCAGGATGAAACGATCATGGCCCTCCACGAATTCATTTTCTTTTCTATCAGTAAGTTGCCATAATTTTGGGGGAAAGATAATGGAGTGACTTCTCGTTTTCCTTCTCCACAGTTTTGGATTCAGAATTGTCCTTCTCCAAGATTGGCTGCCACCCAGTGCTGGAGAATCCACTCTACCTTGTTATTTAACCCATAGCTAGGGGAAAACGATGGATCCATGCTTTTTCCCAAGTGCGTTAGTGCGTAATGAAGGCAACAGACGAGACCTGAACTTGAACCCGGCTTACCGATTCCACTTTCCACGCCAATAACTGTTACGCTACTCGTACATAAATATTCCTTAAAGTGTTTCTTGTGTTGCGAAGGCGTGTTAATGATAAACACTGAAAATAGAAAAGTATTTGTATACGTTTATGCACAACTAGTTGTATCTTTAATCTGATATAGTAATTTCAAGTTTTCTAACAACTATAACATTTTAATTGAATTTATTATTTACATTATTACTTACATATTTTAATTAAATTATTCTTATTATAGATTCATTCTCTTCATTCTTCTGAAAATTGCTGATTCTACCTCCTCTTGTCATTGGTACCTAGCAGCGGACGCTGGACTTTCTAGCTTTGGTAAAAGACGTTTTAAGCATTTCTGGCTACGGTAGCCAGAAACAGCAAACTTATCCCCTACTTTTACTTAAGAATATTTTGATAATTCACAGATGTTAAAGAGAAGGAAGCAATGGAGAGTCATGCCCTTCTACATCATGAAAGAAAATGGCATTTTCAAAAATAAATACTTACTTTTCTTTTTTGCATGTTTTGTTCATCGGTTCCATAACTAGAGATAATTCTTTATAAATCTGATTGATTTTGATTGTGATTTCGATTCTCACCCCGCCAGCCATGAAACCTTTTTGAGGCTCAGCAGACATTTCCTGGAATATAAAATTATAGACAATAAATTAAAAAAAAATCATTAAATTAAAAAAAAAAAATTCTTACACCTAAGGGACATAACTCTGTATTTTAAAAATATATTTTTAAATATGGTTTTGATTCGAGTCGATAATTACTAAGTGAGGAATCACTAAAAATAAATCGAAGACAAAATTTGATGTTTGATTGGTGGGGGGTGACAAATTAAAACTAAAATTTTAATTGGTTCTTCTCTGAAGTGATTTGATTGATTTTTCTTCAGTGGAAAATAATCCTTAAACGATGGTCACCATCAATCGATGTTTCCTTGGAGATGTTAAAAAAACAGGGCAACGACTGTGCCGTATTTGCATGCAAACTTCTTAAAAAGAAAAGAGGAAAAAATAGTGACAATATATGATTATTTTTCATGGAATACTTCAAGGATAAAATACTGTTAAAAATTATTCAATTTAGGAACCTAATATTGGTTTTACCCCTTTTTTCCTTATTTTTTATATTCTAAAAGAATTAAAATATCATTTTTATATTTAGTATATAAATGAATCGAAAACCACCCTTTAAAATGAATTTTCTCGTTTTTTACCCGTTTGGCGTTCACACTCGTGTAACTTTTTTCCTACCGTTTAAGGGTTAATACCTAAAAAGAAATAGAAAATTTTCTCCTTCTTTTAACATTTTTCCATGTTTGTATAACTACTTTTTGATTTGTTTTGTAACGTATCAATTGCACACATTGAATATCAAAAATCGAATGGCAAAAGTAGTTTTGTTCGCCGAATCAGATGCAAAAGCTTACAAAATGGATCTCGCTCTCTCTTGCATACACACGCACAAACACACACCTGCGCGCATACACACACACACACACACACACACACGCACATGCCCTTTCAAGATAAGCTTTAATTACATTTAATTCAATTAAATATGCAAAACAGTTTAATTTTATTTCATTTAGGTACCTCTTTTTTAAAATGAATTTCGCAAAATGAAAAATTTTTCAGTGAAGCTTTTGTTTTAGTTTTAATTTCAAGCTAATAGATTAAATTTAATATGTCCAATAAGTAAAATAATTTGCTGTATTTCAAAACTAATTTAAATTGACTGGGAAGAGTTTACGTTTTGAAATTACTATCGTAGCCCCTTCGCTATTCCGTTCACGTGATCAAGAGCAGACATAATATATGTGTTCATGACCTTGACCTTTATTTCGTTGCGTTGCCCCACTCCCTTCAATTCAATATAGTAATTTCATTTAGATTTATAATAAAACTAATGTCTTTTCATTTGTTTCAGTATTACGAAATTAGTCTGAATAATTTTCGGGAATATTTTAATACCTTTTGTACTTCGTAGCAACTTTGGATTTATTTCCTTTTGATTTTGAGTGCAATGGCAGGTCCTGTTAATGTTATTATACTCCCTTATCAGGTAAACCGAACGGGGATGATGTCGAGCTCTCTGCCTCTGGGAGGATATATTTACTAAGGAAAGGAACCCAGAAGAGGTTATGCTGAAGGACAGAGTCTCTTATGGGGAGATAGACAAACCCGACCCCGTGTATACGGGGTCTACGGGCAATTTTTGCCCAAGCCTACAGGCTTGGAACGCCCTATATTAAAAACTGGCCTTGTGCAACATCTTGCTTTGTGGGGAGGTTGGTAAATAGATATGACTGGAAGGAGGCGAAATACAGGCACCCTGGTCTTTGTGACCAGTGGGCGTGGACGGGTTATATATTAAGTTACGTACCCTTATATTTTTGTTTGCCAACTGAACACTAGTTGGGCTTTCCTATTCATTCTTACTTCCGGCATTCTTGCTTTTATAATTTTTGGCTACCTTAGCTTCCGGCGTTTCTTACTTTATTTCCGCCATTTCTGATCTGCGCATACTTCCGGAAACTGCGGAACCAGACATTCCTAGCCTTTATTACTTCCGGCTACTACAGACTCTTACTTCCAGCATCCTTGGCCTTAACACTTCCAGCTACTTCAGATCCTTACTTTCGGCAATCCTCACCTAAACTACTTACGGCTACTACAAACCCTTACTTCCGGCTACCACAGGCCCTTTTATCTTTGGGCATTCCTAGCCTTTATTATTTCCGGCCACCACAGACTCTTACTTCTGGTATTCCCGGCCTTTATTACTTCCGGCTACTACGGATCCTTATCTTCAGGTATTCTTGGCCTTTATTACTTCTGGCTACCACGGACACTTATTTTCCGACATTCCTAGCCTTTATAACTTCCGGCTGTGCAATGGTCCCTACTTCCAGCATCTTTATCTCAACCTAACTCACCTGGTTGATCGGCTTTAATGGACCTTCTTACAACAACTCTGAATTCCCGGCTACTTCCCTACTTCCTATATCGTTCAGACTTCAACCAACCTATTTCCATACACTTCGGTTAAATACTACAGAAGGTTCACCATCGGACTTAACTAGCAACTTTTCAACACTTTCGCCGGACATGTGAACTGAACTTTCGAACTGTAGACTTACATATCAACTTAACTTACCTTTAACTCTACATTCAGTCATAGTAATAGTATCTAGATCTTCTAGCCGGTCAGTATTCTTCAGTTTACTTAATTCCACCTCCATTACTTAATTCATTGTTTGCTAATATTCCTTTAATCCAAACACGTATGTGATGTAAATAAATTTTGTATTAATTTTAAGTTTGTCGTTTGTTGTCCTCTTGTTGACCTGTCAGATTCGCGTCTTTTATTTTTAAAATGTTAGTGGGCCTCTTGTGACATTTGGGCGCACAGGCCAAATTATATCGCACCCCCTCCAGGGGATCCGCTACATTACTAAAAATTGCCGATTCTAGCCCCATTTTTAGCCATTTTTCACCACAATATAATTCTCTTTATTAAAAACTCTTTCCAAAATAAGAGATACTTTTCTGAAACTTTATTTGAGGAATATTACCTGATTTAAAGTTTAATTTGATTTGAAACAAATATTACTTTAAGTTTAAAATATCGCAGCGGTAACTGTTTATTTAAGGTATTGACAGCTTGACTGACAGACGGAAGTTTATCTAATTTTGTTCTACGGTGGACATATCAGTAAAATTTTTCTTGGGGAATGCAACGTGAGCCCCTTTTCTATATAATTTTAACTATACAGTAATCTTAAAAATTTAGGAAGATATAATCCAAGTAATCCAAGGTCTCATTGAATTTTACATACTTTGGCTTTAAATGTACTATAGTTATCGCTCTTGTTTTCAGATAATGTCATATATGGACGTCCGTATTTTCAAAATTCGGGACGTTTATACGCACAAAAAATTTTCAAAATATTGGTGTTCGATTAATTGCGGTAAGCTTTTCCCTTTATGGTTAGTAAATATATTTTTTTTACTTAATAACACAACCTCACGCAACATGACGTGCCGAACTTGTGCGTAAAGACAGCGTTTGTAAAATCCACTAGCTTTCCTTTTCAGGGTTGGAGGGAAGGCATTTAACACATGTCTTCGCTTTGTTAGCATGTTTTCTTTTTATAAAATAAAAAAATTAATTTACGTTCTTCTGAACCTCCCTAACCTTCTTTATTTTAAATATTTAGGTAAATATCTGTACCAAAGTCGCCAATATATATTTGAAAAACCCAGCACTGTCAAGGTGTCAAATATCAGATAGTAGAAAGTTATTAGTAAGGTTGTTAAGCTAATATAAATATAGAAGATAAATAGCCACCATCTTGAATACTACTGTTTTCTTACTGCCAGTTTACAACGTTTCAGGTAAACAGAACTCTACCCAGTTCACCTTTTACCAAATATTTTTTTACTGGCTCATTAGATAACTATTTAATATACACTTCGTAGTATTACACAACAAAATCCAAAATTACTTCATGTGAGGGGTGGGGGGAATAGACCTATTTCAGTCTTATTCAACTCCGGTGTATAGACAGATAGGATCCACTTGGATTATATACCAACGGATTTATTACTTGTACTATATATATTTATATATATATGTGTGTGTGTGTGTGTGTGTGTGTGTGGTTCTCTATTTAGGCAGTCAGTAAGCTCTCTTTAATACATGATTTCTTAATCAAGACTGACACGGTACTTTTGTTAAGTTTTTATTATTATTAATATATTTTCTTGTAAGCGAGCAAGACTTAATGAGTGTAAAAATTGTACACACGTTTATTGATTTCGAGCGTTTTTCATTTGTACTAATATTTAGTGCCTTGTTCAGACGCATTACCTGTAAGCCAAGCATTATACTTACCATTGTTTTTAAATAACAAAGTCTTGTCAGGTTATCCATTGCAATCCTGTTCAAAAAAGAAATATTAATATATATCAGGTCATATCGTATTGGTGATTTCTGAGCAAAATATTTCTTGCAATTCACCTCATATTAACAAAAAATGATGGGTTTAAAAATGAATAAAATATTTTTTTAGGATTTTATCTCTTCTAAATCTTTTTTCTAAATATTTTAGCTGAATTCAAAGTCTTTTTATAGAACACTTATACATATAAATTATTTTTTCATTTCCTACATTTTAATCAAACATTTAATATAATATAAAGTAATTATATTATTATAAAATAATAATCATCATTATAGTATCACATGTAAATTAGATAGACAAGTATAAATAGAGAACAATTGGTGAACATAGGATGGCTATGCCCAGCAAACTCGGTTGCTATTCAGGACACGGAGAACTGTAGTACGACTACTACTAGATAGAGAGATATGCGAAACATAACAATCATTATTAGTATTATTATTAAACAAAATGATAGACTGATATTTTTCAATACTTAGCAATAAGTGTGATTTAAGAAAAGGAAAGGCGAACATCTTAAAGTGCACATTCTGAAAAAAATATCCAGAATCCGCTGACCTTTCAACCCTTAAAACGCATGCGGATAGTTACAAATGCAAATTACTAACGCCCCAGAGGACGAGATGAGCAGATGATGGGAGAATTTCATAATCAACTAACTGAAAATTTCAAGATGAACATGATCATCATCATGTTATTTACGTTTCAGTTGCATGCCATTCACGCTAGGTGCGTTTCATTCGTTTTGACGTGTTGATTACGAGTACAATCGTTTTTTTCGTGACAAGTTAACGTTTTTACGATAACTCGTAATTTTTTGTAGATTTATTTATGTTTTTATACTTGTATGCAATTTTCAAACATAAGTTGAAGAAGACAGACATACTAATCGAAATATTGTAGAACATTCATTCATTTATTCAGTTGTGGTCACTACTCCTCTCCATCTCACATTTGTAGTCCATGGTGACATTCAAGGCAGAATAATACAATGGCTTGCCAGTTTCTTTTGTACTGGGGATGTTGAGATTACCCGTCCCTCCATTCATAAAGAAGCAAGACCTACAAGGAAGCAGGTGGTTTAAATTCAGTTTTCCTTCTCTTAGATTCGTGATGGTATATGGAGGCCTGCTGCCCAGACTACATAGCCACCCCCACCCCCACCTTCTCGGCTGTATCGACAAGATCCAAAGGAATACAGGGCATTACATTTGGAGACGGCTTAGCTGAAGGAGTTGCCGGAAGGTTGTCAGTGTTGATAGCCAACTGCCTTCATGGCTCTACTCCGGATTTTCAGTCTAAAATCAGGGTTTTCATTCTTCTAGATGAGCTGCCTTCCTTGGCTATAGAGCTCCATCAACGAGAAACATTGTCAAACACTGTATTTTTTCTTCTTTTTTTTTCTTCCTTTTCTTAAATTGCGCACTTCTCTAAGTGCCTTTATTATTATTAATTTTATTATTAACAACAACAACAACCCTTATTGAACAGGCCTACACAATTAAAAAATTAGAAGCGTCACAACCCACACTACTCATGAAGCCGCAAGTCTAACTTTTGAGAGTAAACTGAGTAAAAAAAGATGGCACAGATAAACTAATACATACTAAGGAAGGTATGCTTTTACAAAAATGGTTAATTTGCTGTATAAGAACCAAAAGCCACCGGTAATGAGAATGTATCATTCTGGTGTGAAGTTGCCTGATTATTTCGAAAATGACATCAAAAGTTTCCACTCGATTACTGTTTAGGATTTATCGACAATGTAAGTTCGATCTCTTTCGCGTTGTCCGGCCGCCATTACTGGTGTTGTTTACATACGTTTGCCTCGATTAGTAATGCGCGGAAGCTTACTTAGTTAAAGGCCTTTTTACAACTTTTCGTATCTTACTTGTCTTGATTTATGCGCAATTTTCGCGGATATTATTTTAAAATGAGGATGTTTTTTTATTAAATTGGTTTTAATTTGTTATAGAAACAATTGAAAGCTTTTCTAAATAGATATAATGTCATGGTTGAACACTTTTTCCAAAAAATATTCTTATGAAGCTTTAAATGAATAGTTTTTTGTGTTATAAATTCTCTTTTTTCCCAATTACAAGTATTGCTTCTTTGTGGAACTGAAGCTTTATTAACTAATGAACTCATTTTTTTTTATTAAATTGTAATAGAAACAATTGAAAGCTTTTGTAAATAAATATATCATGGTTACTTTTAAAATTTCGCGCATTGCTCAGTAATCAATAAAAGTGAAGCTTTCGTGCATGACTAATCGAGGCAAAGATATGTTAAAAATTCCAGTAATGGCAGTCGTTCTGTCTACGCAACGAGAAAGGAGTCGAACTTACATTATCCATAACTACTAAATGGTAATCGAGCGCAAAGTTTTAAGGTCATTTTCGAAATAATCAGGCAAATTCAAACTCATTAGCAGGGGATTTTGGTGCTTATACTGCAAATTAACCTAAAAAAAAAAACAAATATGTCTTTCGCAAAAATAAATTTTTCGTTTGTGGTCAGTCGCGGAATTTATTATTACTATTTTGACAACCCCTCGCGGACTATACTGAGTAGTTAGTTAGCGAGTTAAATACGGCTTCCGGCTGGCCTGCTTGGCGAGTGCCAGTGGCTTACAATGAAAATTAAGTGACACTTCTCATTACTCTAGCACTCTTCTTACTATTTAAGCTGTTTACAATAATGCTGTCGCCCAGATGGTCCTAAGAACCATTCTCTCTGAATTCACGTTCCTCCAATTATTGCTTTTCTAGGCTCTTCGAAACTGTTCCCAAATGCTGTGATAACAGCTGGAATCATTGACACCTTTATGCTCAACAACTTACTCAACATCATGTCAAAGTCAAATTACTTATCCATTTTTTCCACTTTCCTCCCTTTCATATCTACATAATGGGCACTTTGCCGTGGTGTAAGGGTTAGCAAGCTTGTCTCGTTCGATCAATTATGACAGAATAGTGAGTTCGACCCTCACTAAACCCCCATAATTTCGACCTTGTGCCACATCTAAGCTACACTTAGATAACCACCATTCGTTCCCTTTTACTTTCAGTACATTTCGATGTGGTCTAATGGTTAGCAAGCTAGATCACTTACGACTAAATAGTGAGATCGATCCTCACTGGGTACCCCATACTTTCGGCCTTGCACCACTTCCGAGCTACGCGTAGAAAATCATCTTTTATATCTACACAATGGTCTGCCGGAACAGCGAAATATTCCAACACGTTTTCTTCTTGAAACAACTCTCAGATTTTAGTCATTATCTGGTCTGAATGATTCTAATTTTTCAATGGATTTCCAATTCTTTTGCGCATTTCTTCAGGACTGTTTCAAGCTCTCCAGTGATGACTAGTATATGTCACTATCATGTTCCATCATTTTTTTCAGTTCTCTAGCAAGATTCAAAAATTTCGACTGATCTTCACTTTTATTCTTTGATGTGTTGAAAAAGTGATATTCACTCTATTCACTCATATTTCTCTATTTATGATAACTAAATTTGGTCCCCTGGCCTAAATTTGGCAATCCGTTTGAATTTCAAAGTCTTATATAATTTTACATTCTTCATTCCCTATGACAGATTCTGGTTTGTGCATATGCAATTGGTTTGCATAATTAAATTCCAGTCATTTGCATACTGGCTCACTTTTCCTACCCAATCATGTCTATTTTTGTATTCTTCCTGAGATAATTAATTGCACTTGCTTATTATATAACTTGTGGTTTCAGCTTTAATTCTAAGAATTGTTTTGGGTTGTTATTAATTTTAAGCTCTGTTTTTTCTTCCCCCTTTTTTTTTCAAGTGCCTTTTCGTCTGCAATTCAATTTAACTTAAAATGGCTGTTTTTCTTTCTATTTTTGCTTCTTCTTTATAAATTTTCTGATCCCACATGTCATCTTATTTTTGTATTGAAAATTTCGGCTCTCAATTTTCATTTCTCTGCCTTTTATCGCATTCAAGTCCTTTAATTGTCAAGTAAACACAGTACCCAAAACTGAAGAATTCTCATTCTTCCTCCTTCATATATATAGTTTTAAGGTATGCTATGGGATAAAGTGCTCAATATCAGAGATAGAGCGTATGTAAATGCAAAATATAAAAGTGGACATTGAAGTCAACACAGGCGACAGAAAAATTATATTTAGGTCGATAAATTTAGATAAAAAGCGCGAATTTGTAAACAGTGACTGCTGCTGCTGATAATGCAAAGCTCTTCTATGAATCAAGCACTCCCCGTCACTGGCGTGTTTATTCAAAAATAAATACGTAAAAATTCACCTTCCTCTCTACCGAGAGCTGATAGCTAAGCGTAAAAATCTCCGACTGATGCCGACTTGAGACAATTGGAAATTCTAGCCACACTGATGAGATGTTATACAACATAACATGGCTAAGAATGTTTTCTTGTATTTTGCTGACGCTATTTGGACAGGACGCACCATATGCAGATTACATCAGATGACGCCTGCAAGTGCCAATGATTAAGGTTTTGTAGATGTAACGATAGCGCCACGGATGTTTGTCTGGCGACACCTTATCTAATAGCATTTAAAAAAAGCCAAAATGTATATGCGTGTTTACAGTGTAAGATTATTTGTTGTTTTGAATTTGCAGTATAGAAAGTATGAAGTAAGAAAAAGTGTGACATAGGGGATTTGGCCTGGAAGCCGTAAGTAGAAAGGTTTGGGAACTACTGATGTAAAATATGAAGATACTTTCGAAAAATACTATTTGTAAGCCAATATGTTAAAAGTAAATAAGAATTAAAGTTGTTTCGATGTTTTTACATACATCATCACCAGATTAGTGTTCCGGATCTGGATCTGGAGCATAATTAAATTCATTACACCTAACTAATAAACGAGATAATTTTTCAAATCCAGAAAGTTCAATATAAACTATACTCACCTGTGATTATTCGACACCTTCAAACTGGAATTCTGTAATTCGAAAACCTTTAAGAAAAAACAAAATGCGCGTTTTATGTTAAGAAATAATTTGCAGCCCGTTGCAAAACTACAACTGAGGAATAAAACTGACGAAGCAGAAACACTGAACTAATTTTCAACGGAATACATGATTTAAAGAAAAAGGAAATAATAATACAAATTATTATTATTATTATTATTACTGAATGAGACTAACACGCCAACAAAGTCCAGCTGGAGTACGTATATATATATATATATATATGTGTGTGTGTGTGTGTGTGTGTGTGTGTGTGTGTGTGTGTGTGTGATAAAATATAGTTAAATAGCTCAATAACAGGGATATATCGTATGTAAATATAAAAGTGAACACTAAAGTCAACACGCAGAGGCGACAGTCTGTTTCATGATAAGCGCTAACGTCAAGCTATGTGCGCTGTCTTTTTGCTCGACTTTTTATATATACAGGTCAGTGATGCATTGCAGGTATTTTATTGTATTGTGGGTAGTCTATTGTATTATTCCAATAGTTATTTTGGTGGACGTGTTTTGTTAATTTATTTATTATTCATTTAGTTTATTTACTTATTTATTTGGATTAATTTATTTTATTTGTTTATTTATTTATTTTCATTTATTCTTGTTCGTTTTCAGTTTTCGATTTTTAAGTAACGTAGTAAAAATTTGTTTTTGTGTCTGCATGTTGAGATGAGTTCTGATCGTTTATTTAGTGGTTTGTTTTGGTCTAGGATGGTAATTATAGCTATTTTTCCTCCAAGCAAAGTTTACAATTTTTGGATTCATTTTTGTAGACTAATGTTCTTTTCCTTATTCCATTATATTTGTGGTGTGAATTGTTTTTTTGTTTTTAATCTCACAGATACGTTTAGAAAGCAATGTGTTGTTTGCGTATTTATTATGTGTAAAGGATGTTTTGTGTGCGTAGTTTCTTTGTTTCCAGGGTCCTTTAGTTACTCCTATATATATTTTTGTTCCTTATCTGCAGATTTTACAATGGCTTGGGATATTACATTGTTTTGCAAGCAATTACCATTTAAGAGACATTTGCTCTTTATCTGCAGTTACACGTGAGCTTAATTTGTTCAGGTGGTTTGTTGATTCTTTTCATGTTATGCTTTTTTATTATATTATCATGTTCTCGGTGCAACTGTAGCTGATTTTGCTGTGGTTTTGTTGGATATCTTGTGGAGAGTGCTTGATGCGGAAAAGTGTGTATGAGTCTAATAAACATTTTCCTACGTTTGTTTTCCTAATAACCATATTGTTTCGTTTTTTATTTTCGTTGGAAGACGTTGCCGGAGTATATGAATATGGTTTCATTGGAAAAGTGGTTTATCATTGTGTTTTCTGTATGGTTTATATGTACCTTTTCTTGGACTGAAGGTGACATCTAGAAAATCTACTTCGTTTTGGTTAGTTTCGGTTTTAAACACAGGCAAAGCTAGTATAACAAACTATAATTAGCTTCGCAGATCAAAATAAACGACTAAATAAACGATCAGAACTCATTTCAAAATGCAGATACAAAAACGAATTTACTTAAAAATCGAAAACGGAAAACGAAAAAGAATAAATGAAGATAAAAAAACAAAAATAAGTAAAATAAATTAATCTAAATAAATAAGTAAATAATAAACAAATTAACAAACCACGCCCAACAAAATAACCGTTAGAATAGTACAATAGTCTACCTACAATGCAATAGACTATTCACAATGCATTACTGACCTGCATATATAAAAAGTCGAGCAAAAACACAATGCATATAGCCTGATGTTTGCGTTTATCATGAAACAGACTATCACCTCTGTGTGTTGACGTCAATATCCATATATATATATATATATATATATATATATATATATATATATATATATATATATATCGAAACCCAGTGTATCCATCATGATACCCAACCAGATAATAATATATAATAATACATTATAGACATATATCATAACCAAATATGCGCAGTGATAACAGGTTTTGATAAAAGCAGGTGAGCCTAGTTAGAAATACCTTCAGGTTCCGCTCAGACAATTTCCGATTAATTATAGTGGGTTCGATCCTTACCACTGAGACTTTGTAAACGATATCGTAAGTAAAGGCAGCCAACTAGTCCAAAGGGAATAGAAAATAAGTATGACAAGGTAGGAACAGTGGTACACTAAGAATTGGGCAAACGATTTAGTTCAACTGTTGAATGAGCATAAATAATGTCATGTATTATTTGAAAACTACAGTCCTCCTTAATCTGTGAGTAATGCCATTGAAGTTCACTTCGAGGTGATGTAATGATTAGCAAGGATATTTCGCTTGATTCATTACGGCTTAGTAGAAAGTTCGATCCTCACTGGGTGCTTCACACTTTCGGCTTTGTACCAAATCTAAGCTACGCTTAGAAAACCATTTTTGTCACAACTGCTGTATGTTAACGAAATAAATCTTGAGTAGTTCCAGGGAAGACAGTTTTCTGAACTTCTTGCATCTTAACGTTGCCAGGGATAGTCTTTTCTTGACCAGACAGAGAGCATCTATTACCACAGGCATTGATGTGGTTTTCAGGCCTCACTTTCTCTCATTTTCTATTATTATTATTATTATTGAGTAAGCATCACACCAAAAAAGTAATACTAGAGCATCATATACGAAGCTTTATATAACCACAATGACAAAAAGCATGCTAAGTATATACAAGGCACATGCACACCAGTCAAATGTGAGCGGTATGGGGACAGGTTTTGACAGGTGGGATCCAGTTAGAAATAACTTCAGGTCGAGTAACCCGGTCCGCTCAGACCGTCTCCGATTGAATGTGTTTTCAAATATCAAGATGTGACTTGCAAGTAAACTTGGCTGACTCATCCTTTGAACTTAAAATAAAACCCCTCTTGACACCCCACCATGATGCTCCCCCACTTCTCTTGGATAGAGAGGTACAGTTTATAAACCTCCCAGGAGTTATGTTCCACCAACCGAAAAGTAAATTCGTGGCACTGAACGGGTTATTTACTGGAGCTCATCGTGATTGACCAAAATAAAATATGCACGTGTTAACACCCCCGATCAGTTAAAATTAGAAGCCACGAGGGTCATGCCTGGTGTCGCATCAGAACATTTATTATTAGTTTTGTTATTATTTGAATCTGTTGGTTTGTTTTAAGGGCTTCCTCCAAGTTTCAACCTAAAACCTCAATAAACTGCAAATCAACAAGTCTTGATTATTGGTACATTTGGTCGGACATGTAGCTGACATTTCCATCATCGTTTTTCTTAATTGTGTGAAGTATTACTGTGTGTATTGTTTTAACTTTCATTAAAATGTGTATGTGTATGCAGAAATACAAATGTACAGCCGAATTTGGTTGAAATGACTGAAACCTGGTAAAATGAGTTTGGCTGAAATGCAAAAGATTGCACACGTGAGTGCTTCCCACATCCACAGGAAAGTTTTATAAATACTGCTAGAATTTTCAAGCATATTCTAATATATTTATAGAACTCTTTACGTTTTACAATCTCAAAATGTTTTATATTTAGTTCTACATATTTTACGCCTGTGACATGATTCTAGTCCCTGAGACCCTCCATTTAATATGTTTACACATGACTGCCTGTATCATTTCTATGGTATACTCCTGCATATGCGCTTGCTGGGTTGGTATGTGGGGATATAATGTTGGGATATATCTTTATAAAGCCTTTAGTGAAATTGGGCGTATTATTATTTACGACTAAGTTGATAGAGTCGTTGAATGTTTTAGTTTCTTTGAACACAATGTTTTGGGATCGATGATCGTTCTCGGTTGACAATTTATTAATAAACTAAAATTGTTTCCAGAAGTCGAATCCTAGTAAGGAGTAGTGAATGTCCGCTACTACGAATGTCTACAGAAAAAGTCGTCGAATAAGTCGAATTTATCTCGGCTTTAATTTGCCCGTAGCAGCGTATATCAGAACCTGTAGACGACGTAAGAGAAACTGGTGTTTGGTCCCGTTGATAAACTGTTGACGTAGCTATGTGGAATGATAACTAAGCTGGCACCGGTATCTATCATAAATGAAAATTTTAGTGTCCCCCAACATTGCTGATATCTGTAATAATGGCACACTCGGGGGAAGTCGTCGTCCGCCCAATTAATTTCCCGCTTCGTTTAGCGCCGGTGAGGATGGGCGCGGACTTGGCTGTTGCATCAAGTCTCTTTTTTTTCTTTTTTCTTTTTTTTTTTTTTTTCAGACATTTGTACTACTGTTTACATGAACGTGTCGCGTCTGCATAATAAATGTGTGCTCTACATACTTTTTGTACTTGTCCTTTTTCGAAAGGCTCGAGACCGTCAGGTATTGCTGACGTTTTAGTAGGTACTTCTTTCGTCTGAATTTGGTTACACGTGCTTATTTTAACAGTGCTTTGTATTAAAGACATTAATTCATCCACCAATTGTCCCAGCCTGGTTGGTTTTCAATCTTTTTGCGTTGCTAACACAGGTGATGTGAAAACTCGTAACGCCTGTAAAAAAATGTGTAGCACTATTTCGTTGCTTATCTCTAATGTTTTTGCAATTGACAACATTTATTGAAGGTAAATTGATGGTCAACCTGTAATAACGGAGGTGAACATTAATTTATTTCGCAGTTCTGGCTTCATTTGTTCATGCGCTTCTATTAAAGATTTTTTAACCCATTGTAATTGTAAGTATTCAGAATGTTGCTAGGTATTTTCGCCACTATTTCAATAGAGACGCAATAACATTGTAAAAATTCGGGGTTTGGTAATTTACATTTCTCAGCTAGAATGGATATTCAGCAATGTTAGCTTGCATGAATTCCGATGTCTTAAATTTTATTTGCTGGACAGTCGGTTAGTGCTGCTCTTCTACTATGTTTATTTTTTGTATTCTTTGTGCAATATATATATATATATATATATATATATTGAAATTCACCAAATATATGGTTAATAAGATGTGTGTATTTTTTTCGTCGTGGTTACCAAAATATGGTGACTTAAAATATGCAAACTATTTCAAACAAAAGGTCAACAAGGAGCCCACTATCAATACTGGAAAGAACAATAACAGCTAGTAGAACTGAGAAACCTATTTTCTTGAAAAATGCTTTAATAGAAAGGTTTTATAAAACTGGCTTCTCGATCTTATAAGGAAACGGTTAATATTACCATTACGATTTTCCAATTTATGTCCAGTACTTCATGAGTATTAAACTAAAAGTAAGTATCGAGATCTCAATTGATCCTCTGTCTTGTTTTAAATTAAAATAATTATAATAAAGGAAAGATAAACTGTGACGCTCGCAGTAGCCGAGTGGTAAAGCACACCGGATTAAAGTATGGTTTCACCTACAAGAAGAGAAGCAGGTTCGAGATTTCTCCGATGCTTAAAATAGAAATGGGTGTTTATTTTAAATACGAGTATGCACTATAAAAACGTTTGAAGTGATATATATATATGTATATGTGTGTGTGATAAAAATATAGTTTAAGACATGATATATGTATGGGTTAAAGTACTCAATATCAGGGATAGATCGTAAGTAAATATAAAAGAGAACATTTGAGGTCAAAACCCAGCGGCGACAATCTATTTCATGCTTAAGTGCAATCTTCAAACCATGTCCACTTATATATATATATATATAATTCAAATGTTACTTTTTAAAACACTACTTATTCTGCAAAGCATAATAAATTTTCTCCTTTGTAGGAGAAACCACCGTGTGAACCGGCGTGTTTCAGACCCCCTCGGGCACAGATATCGTCACCGACCAACAAGGTTCTATTTAGCCTTTTGAGGAAAGCACTTCACCCAGTTCAGATTTATTCGAAACCCTATATCTACTGATATCGTATCCGAAACGTAAACAACGCAATTTCTAAAGAATTAACGGATTTATTTATATATATATATATATATATATATATATATATATATATATATATATATATATATATATATAGTTGTAGCCTGTGTCTGTTTACGAACTCCTCATAGGGTTTTGGAGATAGACTCCCATAACAACATATATCCTGAAACTACATTCCCCACGGTACTTGGATAAGCATATTTTATTTTGATTAAAGGGAGTCTTCGTGAGGGTACAACCTACCCACACTAAATTTGTTTTTTCCATTTGATATAAATTAAATTTTTATTTGTACAAGGGAATGATTTCTATGGTACTTTGATAAGTATATTTTATTTTGGTCAAAGGGTGTCCGGATGAGGGGGGAAGTTTGGCCATAACTCCCCATACTGATTTTTTCCCCTTTGATTTAAATTAAATTTAATTTTGAACAAGGGAATGACTCCTATCCAAAATATAAAAGGAGGAAGCCAAGACATGGAAGTCACATCGGCAACATCAAAATGAGACAATATGGATGTCAAATTGGGCAAGAAAACACCAATCAGTGGGTAGTGCCTTACAATACATATTTGTTGCGACAATTCAACTGTCATATCAATGTTGAAATCTGCTCATCAATTCATTCAATCAAGTATTGCATCAAATACATATCAAAGGGTGTCAGATGAAGCTGTGTTTGCGCACACACGCACCGACTGAAAAATTTTCCTTTAAATTAAATTTTAATTTGAACAAAGGAATGACTCCTGTTCAAAATAAAGAAAGAGAAAGCCAGAAGATGGAGGTCACATCGGCAAGATCATTGAGTAATATTGAAATGGATAATTTTTCTCCATAAATTATAACAATGATTTAAAATCAACCATCATTTTCTTCCCCAAAATGTGCGACACGCAGCAAAGCGCAGGTAATTCGGCTAGTATATATATATATATATATATATATATATATATATATATATATATATATATATATATATATACAAGTATAGGATTGGTGTATACGGAATAAATTCCAATAACCAACAAATACTGTTCTTAAAAGAGTGCTCAATACAGAAGAGCAAATATAATTATTTATTCGAAAATTATAACATAAATATGTTATAAAATCACCATCATCACTTGATAAGACACCAGAAGTTTTGAAACAAAATGGCTATTTTTGTAGTGATTTTATAACATATTTATGTTATAATTTTCGAATAAATAATTATATATATATATATATATATATATATATATATATATATATATATATATACTAAAGAAAAAACCAATGGACAACTTGCCAGCGGACCTAACACCTTAGACAAGAAAAAATCCTGAACAAGGAAATAAAGACCAAAAGGCAAAAACCTACCGATGCAGTAACGTGCTCAACGCCCAAACAAAGCACAAAACGCTTCACAATGTCACCACTTAACAAAAGACAACTCCAGTCATTACTCAAGTTTCATGCTTTTGCGATCTTCAGACGATTAGAAGATTAAATGATATAAGGAACATATAGGTTAACATGTATGAATTTAACATGTTTCTCTTTTAATTTAGCTTCATCAGAAATGTTTTTTAATTAAATTTTCCATGAAATTTATGATGAAGTTAGAATAAAAGCGAAATATGTTAAATTTATAAACATTTTCCTATTTGTTCCTAATTTTATCATGTGTGTGTGAAAAAATTAGTAATAATTTTTATTTGTAAGCACAAAAATATCGATGGGTTGAAAATGATGATGTCAGTGATTTTAAGATGATACGTGCCTAAAATTTGAGCTATTTTCAGAAATAATAATTAGTAATTGTAGTTATATTTTTTAATCATTTCACCCTAAGCAAGGCAATAAAACCACTGAGACGCAATGAGGCACTGTGTTTGAAAGAATATGAGAAAAGGCAAAACTTTATTAAGGGTAGAGAACAAGAACAGAAATTTAAAAAACAAAATACTTACCATGTTTTCGTTGACGAATAAAAGGTTATCATTCCACAACACAGGATAGACGTTTGCAGTTTTATTTTTTGCATCCTAGAAAACAAATAAGTTATTTAGGTGAATAAAAAATTCTTTTCGCTTAAAGCAATAAAATTTTTTTAAAAAATAAAATAAATAAATTAATTTCCTTTTGGATTTCTTAATGTTATCAATGACTAAATATGTAATTCTGAATTTTCAAAAGGCAAACATCTACAACGGGAAATAGATTCTCATTGAATTTAAGTCATGTAACGCTGAACAACTTCGTCACAGATGATAAAAGTAACAAAGGTGTGGTTCTACAGATGAGTGCTAAGAACACCATGGATAGAGTATGTGAGTAACAAAGAAGTATTAAAAAATAGGCAAGATAATGTTGATCTGGAGGTCGGACGTTGTTGGAGTAGAAGAAACGAACTTGGGCGCTTGTTTAGATAAATGAGCAAAGATTTATTTTTATATACGAGTTATAAAAATGTCTCTGGTAAGTGGTAAACGATAGCGTGTTTGAATGGTCGGTGTACTAGTTGTGAAGTGAGAGCGTGAAAAAGGAATATGCTTAACCCTGGCTGACTGCTTAGTAATTTTCGATTTGTGCTTGTCGCGTTGATAGGGTCCGTTCATTTACTGTGTTTACAGGAGGTCGTTTACAAAGCCTCATGGTCGGACAGGCAGTCAGCCGTGCATGTGTACATGCGTGCGTAAAGTATTTCTCCGCTTTCCGTTGATGTGCTACTGTCCAGGTTCTCATAGCTTATATAAGGGAAACGCGCGGACGTAGTTGAAAGAATCTGTGGCAAACGAGATTCGCCTTAGTAATGGCTAGGAGTCTGATATATTTCTGTTTCTTTTAAAATTTGTTTTGAGTAGAGTGCGGCGTCTGTGTAATGTAACTTAGCTAGTCGAAAACTGGTGTGTAGTTAGAGATATGTGTTTTTTAATAATTCTGTAAATTTGGCTTTAATTTCTTACCTCTAACTATGTGTAAATTGTGTTTTTCCGCTACAATAACAGGAAAAGTAGCTCATTCTAGACTTGAAAAGGTCAAGATTTAATTAACGAATAAAATTTCAGAGTTCTGGACGAGACGTTAGGAGTATGAATGTTGAATGCTGAAGTAGTCTTTACAAATCACCGGAAACTCAATCCTAAACAGGAAACAAGGAGTAAACCTCTACTACGAGTAAGACCGGGGAGGTGTGTAAAACCGGACGACATTTAACCCTCACTTCCCCCCACCAAAAAAAAACGGCTGCTATGTCTAGCACACATAACAAGGAAAGAGAGCCTAGAGAATTCAATACTCACAAGATATTTTGAAGGTAAGTGAAACGTGTGGGAAACAGTGTGTAACCTACTAATGAGCGTGAGCAGGTGGCAAAATAAGGACAAAGGGATTAGCTGAAATTTACTCAGAAATTATCTATATGATTAATACTCCCTACTGAATTAAGTGCATTAACATGTATTGATAGTATTTTTTTACGGTTTATCAACCCTTTTTGGGTTGTTTAAAACCGAAACATATTTTGGATTGTAAGAATAATTCTTTGTTTTTCTTTTTAGCAAGTGAATTAACAATGATTTTTCCAAACACAAGTCCTACTATGTAACCCATAGCTAGAGGGAGAAGAGCTGGATTAATACGTTTCCCAGGGGTACTTGCATGTAAGTGAATCTAACGAGGTCTGCTGGTCTTCGAACTCAGTTATCCGATTTTACATTCCGAACTGCTATCCATCACACCAGTCGCACATCCACGCATTAACAAGGAAGGAGAATGTTGAAAAATAACCATTTCTTTTGTAAAATAAGTATGTTTTCATAAATGCTACAAACTTATTGATACTTTCGAATATAAAATTCGTGTTCAAATTATCATCGTCATTTTTCAAAACGACTCCTTGTTAAAATCAGAATTGGAAAAGGATTCCAACCTTAAGAAGTGCCTGAAAAATATACCACAGTTTGACCCAAGCTTTGTGAGTGAAAATGGAAAGACCAAACTAACCCGTCAGGGGCTGTGCTAGCATGAAGTCACAAGTCATCGTGTCCGAGAGTTTGGGCGTACTGGCCTTATTCAACTGCAGATTATGCGGTTTCTCTCAGAAATTGTAACTGTGACACTGAGGCTGTGAGGTGGTTAAGCATCAATTCTAAGCAGGAAAAAATGGTTAAGCCCAAAATAAAATATAGGCTGGAAGATAGATAGATAGATAGATAGTGTGTGTGTGTGTGTGTGTGTGTGTGTGTGTGTGTGTGTGTGTGTGTGTGTGTGTGTGTGTGTGTGTGAGCGAGAGAGAGAGAGGACATTTTCCTTGGTGAGATGGGGATTTCTTCTCTCCTAAAGTTTATTTGACTTATCTATCGAGAGTCTGGTATGCGGACGAAAACAGATTTGGAGAATGAGTTTATCTCTTTCTTGGGAAATTAGAAAAACACATGTCACTGGCGAATAGAAAAGCAAACGAGAATTATATTTTTGTTAGCGAAAACGAATTGAGAAAGGAAAAGTGAGAATGAACCCACAGCGAAGATAAAGATTATGAAAATCGATCCGTCATGATAGGCAGGTGATCTGGCCTAAGTTTCTGCTGAGCCAGCGACCGGCTCAGGGATGAAACACAGAGAGTCTCTTTGTTGAGAATTTAGGTAAACAAATATATTTTCATTGACGAAAACAAATTGGGAAATAAGTTTCTCTCTTTCTGGAGAAATTTGAAAAATACATTATTATCGACAAGAGAAGTAGATAAGAATTCACAAAAACGAAAACAAGGAACGAAACCTTTTTCTTAAGGTTGAGGTCAATAATGTCTCAAGGTTTTCTGGTTTGTGCGAAAGGAGTCATAAAATTGAAATTAATGAGGAGAATAAACCTTTCTCCTATGCACTTAAAAATTAGATTTGTCACAAAGACAGTTATGCCGCCCTGAGAAGTAGGCAGAGTTAGAATACCTAGATGGAAGGAGGAAGAGGCAGAGTTTAGCTTCACCTGTGCGAAGCCTTTTTTTATGCGCCATGTCTTTTCACGCGTTGTTTTCCCTTGTCTCTCTTTTCCTCTATTCGACCCGTGAGTGTCAGATTCTCCAGGGCCTACTTCCTCATTATGTGTCCCAGAAATTTCAGCTGCCTCTTTCTGATGTTGAGTATAAGCCTTCTCCTTGTTTGCAACCTCTCTAAGATCTCATCGTAGCTCACACGTTCGGTCCATTATATCCTTAGCATCCTTCTGTAGAATCACATCTCTGTCGCCTCGAGTCTCTTCTTCATCTTTGAGGAAATCGTCCAACATCCGCTGCCGTAAAGAAGGAAAGATGTCTCGTAACAGTTGAGTATTCTTTTCTTTGTTACCAAAGATATCCTCCTGTCTCGCAGAACTTTGTCCAGCTTTTGGAATGTGTCCTTGGCCATCCCAATACGCCTACGGATATCAGTGTCTCATTTACCGTCCTCTGTCAAGACGCTTCCTAGATATTAAACTTCCTCGTCTGCTTGATTCTAGTGTTCCCGACCTTCAGATCGCATTTCGGGCTTATCCGATTTCTGACGACCATGCACTCCGTCTTCTTGTAGTTTATGCTTAGTCCTTTCTCCTCACTCTCAGTCGCTACCTTCTGTATGCGAAAAGTTGAAGTGAAGCAGGTTGGAGTTAAGGGAAGAGCAATCCTTGTGACTACTCCCAAGGAGGGTGAATGATTTTCCAAATTTGGAAAGTGGATTACGAAAGCAGAAATGGGGAATAAATAAACCCCTTACGAGGATTAATGTGAAAATTAAATAATCAACGAATCCCAAGGGCCCTTCTGCTCCACGCCAGTTTTGGGCCGAAGTGCATATAAGCAGATGACTTTGAGGAGCTCATAGACTTGGGCTGAGAAGCTGCATCGAATGCTTCTGGAATCCACGTCAGCTTCCACCAGTATTCCTGATTTCAAGACTCTGATCCCAGCCTTCCAGAAGGCCCAGTGTCACTATAGAGATTAACGCGGGAAGGTTTAATTTTTGTTGTACCAAGAGCTATATAAACCAATTGAAGATTAACGCCACGAATCTCTCGTTTTATTTTTTCGTCGTGAAGTTATTTTTCTTCATTAATATAGCACCCGTCACGGCTTGAACTAGCGCTGCCATTACGACAACATTCGATCTTCTACTGCTCTGAGATCAAGAACACAACGTGGGCAGAGACGGTGTGGATCGAAGCGGCCATCAACCAACAACCATCTTGGATCAGCGTCAGCATTGAGCAGCACAGAGTCAGCCCGTGCTTAAAGCGTCGAGAACCGCACCACTAAATGTGGTTACGCCACCGGGAGTAGACGGGGAAAGGTGTTACATAATTAAGGTATGCTCAGCATAATTACAGTAAGGACTACAGGTTGTTTTCTGTGGGTGTTGAAGACAGACAAATGCGCCTAACCAGGCATCTGCAACGGTAATTAACTAACAATCCTAGAGATTGGCGGATGTCTATTACTGTTTCTGGTATTATGGGTTTTCTTCAGGGTCATTCAAAATTAAACATAATTAAATGTAAATTAGCATAAAACAAGCATGATCTACAGTCACAATATAGTTCCCGTAAATAACTTGATATTTTTAAAACTTCGTATTAAAAATATTGAATCAGTTGTAAATTACTGTTAAAAAAGATGCTACAGAACTACAACTGATTTATATTATTTACATTCGGCCTAATATTTCTTATTATCACACCGTTCCTGCTTTCCCACTCGAAGCCAATGTACTGATGATGAGGCGGCAACGCTGATGACATAGGTATTCATAGTTGTAATATGAATGATCATGAACAGAAAATCAACATCCTCTACTAAGAAATTGATCTCAAGATAAATCATTCCAAAAACAGAAACTATGATCGAGAATTGTAATGAAAGCATTGATGACACCTACCCTGATTCCATCATAAAAATTCCAAGATGTGGAATTAGTAAATACTAAACACTTCAGATACCTTTGTGTATGGATCAGTTTTAACAAATTTAGTATCGGAGATAAGAAATTCTATTTCTATGTTCAACTTTCTTATCTTGCTTTCTGCGCTAGGGTAGTTTCACCCAACACTGCAAGTTGCTACAAAACCAAGACATTAACCTAAAAACTCGATTCATTTTCTTAAATAACCTCATAAGATCGAGACTTTCACACGAAAGTCATGCATGGCACTAAAAGCCGTTCAGAAATATCTAAATTGTCAGCTGCATGCAAGCGCCTTCTCAAATCATTGATTATAAATGTCTTCGGGAGAATTAAGCCCCTAGGAGGTATTACTGAGAGCCATCCTTCTCCAAACATTGTAGACAGACAATGCAGAATAACAAAGAACTATACCAAATAATGGAAACCACATCACCTGATGACTTTCAACAGCAGCAACAATTAAAATGGATATCACGTGTAATTTGAATATAAAACAATGACATAATCAAGATATTGACGTTCCACAATATTTCAAACAAAGGGTTAGGAAGTAAGCCCTCATCAATACTAGAAAGAGCGATAAAGCTGATGTACTTAAGAAACCCATTTTCAGACAGAAATGACTGCTCAGTTATTGAAGAAAGCCGAGAAGCACAATAACAGTAACTGTATGATAATGATAAGGATGAAGGCATTAGTCCAGATGCAAATAATGAAAATACCTCACACTAGAAAATTAAATAAAAGCAACTGATTAAATGGTTCTTAGTATATTATAAACAGTGGTAATAGAATAACTGTATTGTTCTCACACTGACTTAACTAATCAGTGCGAATTGGAACACTAAATCCTACTTTAGGATTCAAATAAGTAAAGAGGATGTGCATACGTGATAAGCGTCCAGATGTAGAATAAAGTGCATATCGCGTAACATCTGGTGAGCCGGATAGTACTGCTTGTAGATTAATGAATTCGAGTATCCCTTTTCTGTCGGGATCCTAACTTTAATCACTTCTTCAATTCTATACCATGTCCCTTCAGGAGATAAGCAATCATAGCTCAATAACTTCTTATTCTTTGTAGATCTAAGCAACGTTTGTCTCTTTACTATCCCTCCCAGTCTCAGTTCTGCTATCCACTTACACAAACTTGTTAGATAGGTTATTCCCTCTGCTCGTTCTCTATCTGATCTTAACCTTAAGCTGTTGTCTAAAGTACGCGACCAGATGTTAAGAGAGAGAGAGAGAGAGAGATGTCTCCGTGAACCTTCTTCAATTGCATCATCGAAATCAGCATTATCATCATGAGTAATAAACACAGAAACATCGCGTTTCTTCTTGTCCAACAGAAACACATAGTATTTCATCTTGCCCACGTTGCTATAAACGGAACTGATTTCCAACGTAAGAAACTGTCCGAAAAACATGTAACCTTTAACAAGCTTGTACAACGGTGCGATCGCGCAGTGAAAGAAGGCACACTAGACAGACTATTCCATATCAACACAACGGACGCATATTGGCGAAGCAATCAGTTCCACTGTAGAACTCAAATTCTACATTATTCCAATATCCAAAAATAGTTTGGTCAAATCTGTGCAAAAAGTGGATCACAGAACATTTTCAACTTCATACGCTTTCAAAAAAATCTCGAGCCCTCATTGGTTAATAAATATACAAGTAGGCGTGACTATCCACCTACGCTTAACCAATTTTTACAGCTCGTGACTGAAATCCAAGTTCGCGCCAAGTGTCTGTGAACCACCCGAAACAAATAAAGACAGAAATTCATTCACACTCGCCAGTGAGAATTGTGACATCAAACGAATTGCAACTAAACTTCACGTCACACAATCTTAAGTTCTTCGTTCATACGAACAGTATACAAACTTAACGATATTCACACTCACTCACCAAAACACACCAGTGAACTCTATTCTCATTCACTCACCAAATTCCTTACACAGAAGTTAAACAAATTCCTGTTAACAAATCAACTTTATTTCTTAACATTCGAGAACATTGTATTACACAAAATAATCAAAGGTAGATAACTTCTTTGATCACAAAATTGCATTCAACTTTACAAACATTTACTACTTACATGAACAGTAAATCTTTTCTCTTGCAATTAATTTGCAGAATCTTCAATAACAGATTCTAACCAACATCCTTTCAAATCAGAACACATTAACAAAATTTAATCTTTCACCAAACTTAAGTTCAACATAAATTAAACTAACAAGATTTCACCTAAAATAATCCACTACATTTTTGTAAAATATTTCCATTACAAAAAATATATTGAAAATTACTTGTTATTCAAATATTTGTCTTTTGTCTTTTATTACAAATGTTTCTTGTTGTTTTCTCTTGTTGTTTTTGAATTTTTGCTTAACATATTCGTAGAATCAAAAATTGTATGGATTGATTTGGCTCATCAACACCATTAAATAAATGGTAACCACCAAACTTTCCACTACTCCACCGCGAAATATTTGGCTGACCCAGACCATGTCTCGAATTACCAACCTGCTTTTTATACATTAAAAAGGACGCGAGCTACATACCAACCGAATTAGTATTCAGAACTTCATTTTCTACATAGAAAAGAAAGCAAAAAGAAAGGCGAATGAAAGTAAGAGAGACAAAGTGCTTTATCTAAGATATGCAGATAACTTGTAACGTAATTATTATTTTATTGCTAATTTGAACAACGCCTAATACTTAAGGCATTGTCATAGAATTGTAAGGATACAAAAGTCGATTATCTCCCTTTCGTTGAAATAAAACCCTTTATTTCGATCAGAGTGTGAGTTCAATACCCGGTTAATGCAGTGGAGAACTTTCAGAGGGAAATTAATAGGAGATAACTGATAACTGACATCCATTAAACATGGCTCGTGGAATGAGAACAGTCTACCCCAGTGAGTGAAATAAAGGGTTCAGTTCGACATTCCAACCACCTGAAGAAGGCCGGAGCATACAATGGCTGAAACGTTGTAATAAATATGGCGACAAAGATGATGACAATAGTCTGAATAATGTAAATAATGTACATAATACCTCATCTCAGAAATATAGACAGATATTTGGGGGATATTTTCATTCTCTGTGTTTTTGAAATTGTCTGAAGTACTTTAAAATATGATATTTGTGTCACATAAACACATTTTCCTATTAAAAAATTATAGTTCCAAAATATCCTCCGAGTATTATATACAAAGTTGAGGATTTTATTTGTCCCGTAAATTACAGCAATAGTGTTTAAAGGAAAAAAGGTTGTTTCTTTTATTTACGGTTCATCTTTTGTCAAATTATCTCTCCCATACTCTAGCTACATATTTCAATATTACTAAATGTTTCCCTGGAAATACACTGAAAAAAACATTTTCTCAATATTCTCTGCAAAAATAACAAAGATTTATATGCCTATGTTAATGGCCGTGTTACCCCAGTGGTTTGAAAGTTACCACTCTGACCGTGAGACCCAACTTCGAATGTCAACATGGCCAATTTGTCAAGGTGACTTCTTCCTAATATCGACCCAAATGATCCCATCTTGCGGCATAGTTGGGAAGTACCATAACACCAGTTGACCCAAGTATTGTAAGGTAAACTGTGTAGACAAAACTGTTCAGAAGCTGTCAATGGTTGTGCTAGCATTAAATCACACGTCATCATGACCAATTTCTTGAGCATACTGGCCTTGTTCAAACTAAGAATCATGCCAAATTATGCACTCTCTCACAGAAACTGTAACTAATATCCACTCAGCGTAGTTGCATTACAACCACAGTTGGCCTCTGTGGGCATTGAACAAACACAAATTTGCCTGAGCAGGTATCTGCAACAGGGATTGGCTGGCCAACTTGGAAACGAATGGCCAGGCATACTAATATGACTGTGAGGTTCAATTGCCATCAAGTAACGGTCCATATTAAAGCTTGTAGAAGAACTTCAACATTTTAAAAATATACTCTGTAACTTAATAGAAAAAAGTGTTATTTTATAAGAATTCAAACTATACTTACAGGTATTTTTTTACAACTGAATTCATTTGTTTTGTTGATTTTGATGCAAATACTATCAGAACATCGTGTTTCTTGTTCGGAATCTCCATCACTGATAATGCAAACGTCCATATCAGATGATATATCACAGACAGAATTTTTTTGTACTGCGTGTATTGTTTTATATGCTGTGCAAATTATAACAATCCATAATAAGCCATTCATTTTCAGATATTCTGAAAAAAAATAAAATAAAATTATGTTAGAAATTATAAACAGAGTAGACCAGAAGTCATATGGCATAACCAAATAAAATAAAACCAGTTAATTAAAAAAAAAAGACAATAACAAAACTTTATTTAAAGGGTGATAACACCAGCAAATAAATTTAGACTGGAAAGAGTCCCGTGAATGCCTCCACCATCTTCCAAAATTGACACAGAGCAGAGGTGGTAATTGGTCACCATAGACCAATCACTGCACTTCTAAAATATCATGTGACAGTTTGGATTTCCAACCAACTTCAAAAACTTTTTTTCATTGAGCCACTGACAAGAGTATTTTAGCATACTGACTCATCAGACTACACTACACATTGCTCATCCTCCAGAGTCTAATTGGTAATGTCATGAACCTAGGTGAGGGGATTTGTCTGGTGTTATAGTGTTGATGCCATATCTCATAAAAGCTATAAAAATGCTTAACTAACATCGTGGATATGTATCTGGTACTCCCTGCGTTGAATGTGAATATGAGTGTGCCAGTGTCAGTTGTCTGTTTTGACATAATTCTAGCCAGAAAACTATGGTCAGGATCATTAAGGACCAGCACTCAGCCAATATTGCCAGTATGCACATGAACCACAGATCAAAGAACTTCAAATATCCCCAGTAATTTTTTAAATTAAATGTCTCAGCTGTCTAGCACTCACTATCATACTCCAGTCAAACTCTGATAATTGCCCTGACACAAGCAGCCTAACTGGTATTCATACTAACTTACCAGATATCAGAGCACAACTGATATAGATCTGGGTATTTCAATGATGTCAGGGTAAGGTGGTACTACTCACCATTACCTTTACATACTGTTACCCATAACTTTTGGCACATCAGTATATAATATCAAGAAAGTGTAATATTACTAGCTGTTTATGCAACTCATTACATTATGGATAGGTTTTAACAAAATATATCAAAATTTTCATCCATTCTAATGATTACATATATTGTAAGGAGAAAAAATGAAACATGTTTGATTGATCACTTTGTTTTATGGCTTATTGACACTTTGTTATCTAAAGTAAAAACATATTTTGAACTATAAGAATTTTTTTTTGCAAGTGACTATTGCATTAACAATTTTTTGGAGAAAAATATTATTTTTTCAGTTACTGTTGTAACCTAGGGAAGGTTACTGAATAGAATAATCAAAGGAAGGTTGGTAATGAATGATAATACTTAGGACAAGAACAACACATATAAGATTCACCAGCGGCACGTAGAAGTAGTCAACTGGTAGAAGTGAGTCAAGTGAATTCCACAATAATTCTCCAAATCTAGACCAACATACAGTATTCACTACTGTATTTATGAGAATGGGGGCGTACCCATTATCGTCTATAGGTATGCTACGACAGTTACAAATCCTAGTATTTAACCCATAGCTAAGGGAAGAAGAGTATTTGTGCATAAATGAATGTAATGAGCTTGACCGAAATTTGAAGTTGGCTCTTTGCTTTTTCATTCCTTGTGTTATTCTTATGTTATTTTTTACAAAATCAGAACGTAACAACTACTTTTCCTCTTCTCTGTTACCTAGATATAAGAAACAAAAATGGGATAAAAATTTGCTGGGTTACAATCCCACTTATGAATCTGTAAAGGAAAAATCAATCAATAAAATCATTAGAACCAGGACAATTTAATGTTTTTGCTTAGCTTATCACTGAATCAATCACTTACTTAGTTTATTACTTATCACTACATCATACTTAGCTTTGGTCATTTTCTATACTAACAACCTAAATATTTTTATGACAAAAAAAAATTGAATAATCTGTGGATTTTACAATGATAAAATTTTTGTAAGCTTTAGCACTCAATTTGCAAGTTATGTATTGAAAATAAAGATGAAAGCAATTTTCAGTGAATTTTCTTTTTTTTTTTAAGCAAAGCAGGGCCGGGAGTGCCACTAGCACACAAGGGGTCACAGAGAGTAAGAGTAAGAGTAAAAAGGAGTGTTTGGGAAAAAGATAAAGAGAAGGACAGGAATCAAAGGTGAAGGCATGAAGAAGATGTTGATTGACATTACATTTGAATATTTGAAAATTATAGCTATCAGGGAAGCAAGTGATAGGAAGCGAGTTCCACTGATAGGAGGTGTGAGATAAGGTGGTGTTGAAGTAGAAGAGATGGCTACATTTAGCCATTTCAATAGTGAAAGAGTGGGACCAAGATTCCAACCTAGTAGCACACTTAAATTCATGCAGTTTGGGAACAAGTGAAAGTAGAAAAGCCAGAGGGAAGCCACAGCACATCTATGAAATAGTGACTGCAAATGGGATGCCAGATCAGGACCAAAAAAAATCCCAGGCTAACTAAGATTTTACAAGTCAGCAATAGAAAGCCATTTACATTAGATTTGTTAAATAGTTAACTCAAAGAACAGGCTATTAAACATCTCCACACTTTCCTTATGCTAGAGAAAGATAAAGTCAGGTGTATAAGAAGTTACAAATTAAAGTTACTTCTGCCTATATTTGAGACAATGTGAATTAAACAAAAAATAAAGTAAACTAAATGAATACAGTCTTCATGGAGACAAAGGCTTTCAGATCACTTCTTAGCTAGAAGAATGACTGATAAAAAAGAATGGATGACTTTTTAATAAGACTTGGGTAAAATAAAATAGGTGTCAAAACCCTTTATTTAATCTACAGGAGTAGACTGTTCTTGTTCCACTCCTCATGTCTAGAGATATCATCTAGTTCTTATTTTATTTAGTACTGTTCAGTTATTGCTCGCCAATTTCCACTGAATGCAAGGATTGAACTCACAACCACTATGTCACCAAATTCACAAACCAATGCTTTTATCCACTAGGCCATTGTCCAATAGGTTCTGTTTAGAATTTACTCTAGCTTACCCAGATCGATATACATCCTGAAGAAGGCAGGAGGGCACAATGGTCGAAACATTTTGATAACAACAACAAAGATGAAGACAATAGTCTGAATATAAATAGTATAAATAATATTCAAATCGTGTTATATTTTATAGACACTGAGTAAGCTTTCTTCATCATCAGAGCTGTTTCAACATGAAGACATACTGCAAATCAGTATGATTTTTTATCTTTAACATGGCTGTTTGTCTCATCTCATCAGGTCCATTTGTGTTTCTTCAACACCCACAGATTCAACCTACAACTACACTGAGTGGACCTTATTTTCAGTTTGAGTATTTCCCTTATCAGGGCCACATGCAGTTTTGAATTCAATCCTCTTCCTTCTATATTGGCTGTTAACCATGGCTTGAGAGTCCAATCTGCTCTAATATTTAAACCATATCAGGGAGAGAAGAGATGGGTTCATACTTTTTCCAAAGGTGTTTGTGCGAAAGTGAACATAATGATCTTGGCTCACCAATTTCTTGTTCTGAGCCTCTAGCCATTAAACCACCTGCACATCCTGAGTAAGCAGCATAAATAAAAAAAATAATGCCATATTTTCCAAAGAGATTTAAACTTGCATTCTAATATCTCTGATTTGCTTAAGACAAAAATTTTTAACCTAGTCATATAGCAACATTTTTTCTCATTGCTTTTTCTATGCCTTATTGTTTGTTTACCCTTAGTTTTAATAGACATCATAAGCATTATGTTGTGTAAGTTTCATACATGAAGCAGTTTCATCATTCATTTTTGACAATTGTTTCTTTTATCTTATTGCTGCATTTTATTATACTGTCCATTACTTGGTAGCAATAATAGCTTAAAAATTAAAAGTATATTAGATACAAACAAGTTATATTAAACTCTTTGACTGATGTCTCATAATTGTAATGCTCCAATTATCTCCTTTGCTGACTAGCCCTCTATAAAATGAGTACCACTACTTTGGACACTAAAATGGTCACATGATAAAGACCTCTGACACAATAATAATCACTATAAAGACCCATGAAAATTTCACGGTTTTAATTTTCTGATGTATCTTAATTCTTAAGTTAATGATTGAGTAAGCTCATGGTGAGTTCAATGACAATAAAATATTCATAGAAATTCCCTATAACAGTTAAAATATATTTGAGCTTAACAACTTTAACAAAATATTGCAATAACAATCATAAATATGAATGCTGGTTGTAATTTTAGGAAATAGGTACAAATGAAAATATGTCAAATTGACAACTTCATCCATTTCACTGAAACAGATATTAAACATTTCTATCTTCCCTTTTTCTTTCATTCATATGTCTTGTTTTTCTACCCAATGAAAATGGAATTGTCTTTTATTTATGAGGTATTGTCAAGGGACATTAAATACTTCTTTCTTTCTTGCTAGACAAATACCTGTCTTATGAACATTTCTCTTAATAATAATTTTAAAATAATGTTATTTTATTTATGGTAACTGATTTTTTGGTGATTTCTTTACTTGGTTTCTGTTGTTAAGATGAAAAATGACACTTTTGTCATGGTTACCCCCATATCTCTGCCTTTTGGTTGAGATCAAAGTGTAGTATCTGTCTTTGGGTGGATAAACTACATTTTTTCATTTCTTGCAACTGAAAATTGTATTGAGAGGAGCTCAGTCTCAGGAAACAGCTGCCCACAGTACCTCCTTCATTAAAGAGTGGGGATCAGTAGTAATACCAATGGTTACAGGGCTGGGCTATTTTTGAACTTGGCCTGGGTGGACACACTCAGTCTCCCCACATGAAACTGGCCTTGTGTCACATCCTGCCAGTTGGAGAGCATCAAGCAAATACAATGGCTTCTCAGCCTTTTGACTGAGATCAAAGTGTAGTATTTGTTCTTATCAGCTTAATTTGTTTCTTTCTCTCTCTCCACTTCTATCTTTCTTTGATTTTTCTCACTGAAACCAAGTAGTGTCTTTTCCCCTCTTTCCACATGATCAAAATGGAACAGTTCATCATTTATGAGGTATTGGCAGGGCGTAACGGTCGTGCAAACTAACTAATTATTTATGATGAAGTATTGGCAGGAGACTTTAAGCACGACTAACTTTCCTTCTTTCTTTTTAGCCAAATCCCTGTCTTATGAATATTTCTCTTAATAATAATTTTAAAATAATTCAGCAGACAATGTTATTTTATTTGTGGTAACTGATTTTTTAGTTCACTCAGTTTCCATCATTCAATATTGTGCATCTGAAAAATTGTGGTTGCCATCACTTCTCAGCCTTTTGCCTGAGATCTCTTCTTATCAGCTTTAATCTGATTCTCTCTCCACTTCTATCTTCTGATCTATCTTTTATCTCTCTCTCTTTTGTCTATTTTTATAATCTAAATGAGTTAAAATATCATTATTATAGTTCTAGTATGTAATTAAAGTGATAATTAAAGTCATTGCTAGGATCAAATCCCGGCTGAATTGGCATCAGTCAGAGATTCCACCACTGAGCCGTTAGTGTACAGCAGGGATGAAGATGAATTTAAGAAAATTTATTTTTAGATAAACACACAGTGACTGAGAGAACTCAATTTGCTTTACCAAAGAGTATTGCACTATTAGCAGTTATAGTCACTGTTTACAAACTCACACTTCCTCCCCAGAGAGCTCAACCAAAATAAATAAATATATATATATATATATATATATATATAAAGTGAAAATGAACATTTAAATATTGTATAGTTTCAATGCAGCTTAAATGTTTGATGCAAAAATCTGTTATTTGCACTAACTGAAACAAAGAAAATAGTATTGAACTGTTACATGATATCTGTCCTCCTGTATAGCAGGGAATGCGGGATGATTTCCTCCAAGATGAAGAAGTGACTTGAAGCAACAGAAATGCTATTCTAAAAAAGAATGTGGAGGATACCATTGGCCAAAAATGTGAGCAACAACAAAGATTTGGAGAGAATGGGCAATATGTATTGTGGGGATGAAGAAAAAAACGCTTAGATGGAAATTAGTTGGAGGCCCAGTATGAAATCCTTCTGTTTACACAGAGAGGGCTTCAAAGATTAACCTCCACCCAGCAATACATATTGTCCATCTCTTTTTAGTGATAATTCTATTACAATTTATTAACCACGATTTAGCTCAGTTGAGTGAGGTTCGAGAACAGTTAGCTAGCCCATTTTTCAGTTTTACTTTTTATCTATTATCATCATGAGTGATAATAAAATATATATATATATATATATATATATATATATATATATATATATATATATATATATATATATATATATATATATAAATAAATAAAAAAAAGAAAGAACAGTAAGATATATAATCCGGTGTTCTTATAGATATTTTTATTTTTACAAAATAGTGCTCAATGTAAATTTACAGAGCATTAATATTATAAATTAAGTGATTTAAAATATGGTTTTTTTTGTTACACAGTTCTAACCATGTTTCAAAAATGGAAGCTAAAAGCTTCAAATTTAATTTTGTAATTAAATTAAAGACATTGGTTCCATTTCATCCTCAAGCGAATTTTGGAGTAACTTATTTTTTAAAATTACTGGGTTTTAAAGGCACAGCAAAAATTCATAATTCACGTTTCCAAGGATACAGAGAAATCCATTCATCCAGACAAGGGGTGGTTTCATGTTCATTATAGCTGTATTTTGATGTATCAGTTATTAGTTACGTTTTAGTAGGGGTAGGGATGTATTTTTCAATGAATTCTGATATCCGTTAAATGCACGTCGTCTGGATTTTTTTAAAATTTATTGTTAACGGCAAAAATTCTTACAGCATTTTTTTCTATTTGTATACTTAAAGATTTTTGGGGGTGTTTAGGTTAGAACACATTTTATTTAACTAAGATTTTAAAAATATTTTCACCTATAATTTTTAATATACTATATTTCTTTTTAAAACAAGTAAATGAATTAGAATTACTTACAGTATGTAAAATTATTTCACATCAAGTATAAGTATGTATATTACCAGGTCACAATTCCTTTTTTTAAATTTATATTTAAATATTATTTAAGTAAAATTTATGACAATTACGGAAAAAAAAAGCTAATTCATTTCTCTGATTTAGTAAACTTTATTTTTTATAAACTTAGTAATATATAGTTTCTCATGTATGTACAAAGGACATGGGTCATTTAATGGACTACATCTTCTAGCTTTTCATCTTAATTTCATTTTACTGTAGGTGTTTTATTGGATTCATTTAAGTGCTGGTAGTACTTTGAGAGAGGTGTTTAGGTTAGAATACGTTTTATTTAACTACAATTTTAAAAGATGTTTAGGTTAGAATTCGTTTTAACTACAATTTTAAATACAACTTTAAAATATTTTCATTGTTAATTTTAATAGACCATATTTATTATATATATATATATATATATATATATATATATATATATATATAAAGTGAAATGAACATTTCAATATTGTAACAAAACAAAAAGGAAACTTATATTTAACATCAGGAAGAGGCAACTGAGATTTCTGGAGCATGTAATGAGGAAAGAGGGCTTGGAAAATCTGATACTCACAGGACTATAAGGGAAAAAAGGACAGAGAAAAGCATGACATATTTGATGGGCTTGAGCAAATGGATGGTAGAACATGGTTTAAGAGAAATAACAAAAAGACAAAACTTATTAAGAGCAACATGGGCCAGGAAGATGAGGAGGGCCATGAACGCCTATGTCACAAAGTGACACAACACATAAAAGAAGAAAGAAGAAGTGCTAGCAAATGTTAACAAAAATTACTTTATGTGATTCAAATGTTGCTGGATTTAATGAAGTTCAGGAAAAATATTAGTCATCATAGTGGTTGATTTTATAACTTAATGGGTAATTTAATGTTGAAATTAGTCTTTTTTGATTCTATTTGAGCTGATAAAAATCTACTTGGTTCAGGAATAAGCAAATACCAATTGTTTATAATTGTGATCATAAGGGTTTTCTTGATTTGGAGATAGGTAAATATTGGTCATTCATATCTTAGTCTTTAAACATTTTCCTTGGGGGGGGGTCTCACTCCTCTACAAGGGATGCAATCAGCAGATTTCTACATTCCACTGACAGGGCTTCAATCAAAATGTTATGTTAAAAACAACAAAAAAGAAAATTCAAATAATTCATGAAAACTTTAAACTTTAGAAACTTTCAAAACTTTAGATGTTTAATGTGTGTGTGTGTGTGCATACATGTGTTTATGAAGGAAGATTAATAACTTGGAAGTCTGATAGACAGTTGAATTTTGATCTGAAACTTTCACTATATAATGTTTGATATATGAGATTAATTAAGTGCATTAACAAAGAAAGAGATCAATTTTAAAAATGGATATTTGTTATGCAAAATTAATCCTTTTTTTTCTCATTAAGCTCAGAATTTGTTGATGTACATAGATAGATAGATAGATAGATAGATAGATAGATAGATAGATAGATATGGTACATCTTAAACAGACTGATTAACTCATAAAATATAGGGAAAAGTTAGGGGGAAAAATAATTTTTCTGCATCAGCACTCTTTTGAGCTTCCTTAGGCTAATACACTTGTCAGAATTGAAAAATATTGATTTTTTTAAATCATTTTAGAAAGGGAATACTATTGATACTATCAGTATAGTGTAAAATAGATCCCTACCTTTTACAGAGTTATTGAACTGTTATTTACAAATGTCAAATTTGAAAATATGATAATATCATTGATACTTGCATATATTTTTAATTTTCTGAATTTTAAAATCATTTTTTTAACTTTAAAAATGTTTTTAGAAAATTTTTTCTTTGTGTGATTTTTTCAGAAACACAAACAGTTGAGCTTAATAATTATTTATTTTAAATGAAGAATAAATGGATGCATACTTTTATCAATTCATAGAAATTTTTGTTCTGTTCTTTGATTTTAAAGCTGTATATATCAGTTTGTTCTTTATTTAAAAGAAATCTTTTTGCTACCCCCACCCACAAAATGTTTTCTTACACAAAACATCTAAGTCTAATAACTTTATAAAAGTCAGGGATCGATTTAACACCCCCTAAATCAATAAAAAAAAATCAATAATTTTTTAAATTCTGACAAATGCAATGCCCTAAGAAGAGTCAAAAGAATGCAAAAGTTATTTAACAAAAATTTTTCCTCTAAGTTTTATAAGGAAACCAGTCTATTTAAGTTGAGCAGATAGATAGATAGATAGATAGATAGATAGATAGATAGATATGTGTATTCAAGTTAAGCAAATTTGGTTGTCTACTTTAATAGACTCTTATATAAACATTGTATAAAATGACAAGACCAGGCATACAAACTAAATCGGTTACAGCTTTAAACTTCACATCACAAGTGAAATTTATTTTAGCTTAAAAATTATTACTAATTTCTTTGCTCCAGTTAAAAAACAACACCATAGAAAATCAATGGTTTGTTGAGTAAATTCTTATTATATTTAAAAGTTAGGAAAGGAAAAGATTCTTCTTACATGATTTAGCGTAGTAATTCTATAAGTGTCATTTCTCTCTGGTATATACAAGTTGGAAATAAACTTAGCAGCTTGAATTTCATAAAAAAAAAGAAAGAAACATTCCATACAAACAGACATATGTTAGACAAAGCAGGAAAAGAAAACAAAATAATTATCATGGTATTTTTTCCGTGTAACCAATCATAAAAACTACAAAAATATCTTCAACATTTTTCTCTCTCTAGTTTTATCATAAATAAATTGAAAGCTTAACAAAGTATTTATTTTTCTAAAATATTTATCAATCTGGACAACTAATATTTAAATCCCTCATTTCAACTTTTAAACTTTTCTATAGATAAATTGAAAAATTAAAATTACTTACTTTCCCCGTTTGTTGTATGTGTATAAGTTTGAGTCAAAATTTTTATATCCGTGTTAATGCCTATCATATGACTACTCACTCAAAAACAATCAACATCTCTAATTCGTTCTTGAGTATCCACTTTGATAAGAGAAATCTGAGTTAGAAAAAAAACTAAAAATTATTAAATTTACTGAATGTGTTGTTAATCTATACAGCCTATTGTCAAGCTAACAATTTGTTCAAAACAATAAACTATTTGTTTATCTTTATAGTGAAATCAAGAGTAGACGCACCCACCATAATGACAAATGTTGAATAGCCTCCTCTTTCAGTACTCCTCTCTGATTTTCATATCCTATGAACCAGGAACTTCCAGTCAAGTCAACATATTAACAACAATAACAAATATCACTAAATAAATTTCTGGAATTAACTTAAAACAAAAAAAATAACAATTACAAATTATTGGTTATGATAGATGTATATAAAAATATTATTTCTATTTTTATGTCTATATATTCAATGGCTAAAAAACAAGAATAACAATGAAAAAGGAAAATAAGAATTTTGTTAATGACAACATCAAGACTTGTCTCACTGTCCATCTATCATTAAAATTAAAAAGTATATGCTATTCTTTAATACATTGTTAAATACAAACATATTATAACATATTATCTCTAATTGTGTATTTGGGCATCAATCCTGGTTTTATACATGTTTTGTTAAAGATGACTGACAGGTTTACTGCAATTAAGCTTTCGATTTAATTTTTTTTGTATTCATACAAGTGTTTTCTTTTATGGATACAAAGTGTGTAAAAACTATTCAAAAGTTTTACATATCCAAGCACTTTGTGTCCAAAAAAGAAAACACTTGTATGAACACAAGCAAAATTAAATAAAAAGCTTAATTGTAATATCTTGTCAGTCATCATTAACAAAACTTGTGTATATATATATATATATATAATTAAATAATAGAGACATATTTTAGTTTATAGGTAAAAACTACAGTGCCTTCCTTGATGAATTTCATCTTAAGAAGAAACTGATTAAAGTACTCGATAGAATCATTATAAAAATAAATAGGCATAATATGTCTATATTATTCAGTGAAATATGTTTGAATGAAGATATGCTGCCTAAATATATATATATATATATATATATATATATATGAGATAATGATGTACATTTTTATATATCAAGAACAGTATTGGAGGAATTGTATGATAAATTGAAAAAAGTTTGCTTGTGATGTGTTTCATCCTTCAGGACTTCATTGGACAAAATTTGTTAATAGTGGACATTGAAGTCAACATCCAGAGACAATATTCTGTTTCATGCTAAACACAATCATCAGGCTATGTACATTGTATTTTTGCTAGACTTTTTATATATACAGGTTAGTGATGCATTGTGGGTAGTCTATTGTATTATCCTAATGGTTATTTTGATGGGGATGGTTTGTTAATTTGTTTATTATTTAGCTAATTTATTTACTTATTTGTTTGGATTAATTTATTCTAGCTGTTTTTTTTATTTAATTTTATTTATTATTTTCATTTATTCTTGTTCAATTTCAATTTTTGATTTTTAGTAATCTAGTAAAAATTTGTTTTCATGTCTGCATTTTGAAATGAGTTCTGATTGTTTATTTAGTAGTTTCTTTTGATCTGGGAAGGTAATCAGTTATTTTTTTCCTCCAGGCAGTGTTTACAGTTTTTGGCTTGATTGTTGGAGGGTTATGTTCTTTTCCTTATTTTCCATGACATTTTTTATGTAAATTGTTTATTTGTTTTTAATCTCCCAGATATGTTTAGAAAGCATTGTACTGTTTGCATATTTACTATTTGTAAAGTATGTTTTGTGTGCATAGTTACTTTGTTTCCAGGGTCCTTCAGTTACTCCTATGTATATTTTTCTTCATTATCTGCTGATTTTACTGTGGCTTGGTATATTACATTGTTCTGCAAGCAATTGTCATTTAAGGAACATTCATTCTTTATACTACAGTTACATGTGGGTTTAATTTTTTCAGGTGGTTTGTTGATTGTTTTCTTGTTGTGCTTTCTTATTATTTGTGTCATGCTCTTGTTGCAACTGTAGCTGATTTTTACTGCATTTCTGCTGAATATCTTGTGGAGAGTGCTTGATGCAGGGAAGTGTTTTGTGTATGAGTTTAATGAATATCTTTTTTTTTCGTTTTTATATTTTTGTTGTATGGTGGGTTGAACCAATTGATGTTTCTCTTTCTATTGGCTTTTTTATGCTGTGCAGTGTGTATGTGAGTGTTACCAGGAATCCACTATCTTTTAGGGTTATTTCATAGTCTTTTTTACCTACATTGAATATGATTTCATTGGAAGAATTGTCAGAAAGCTTGTCATTAATTGATTGTGTTATCTGCTTGGTTTTTGATGGTGGGTGGTTGGAAGATGTGTGCATATACAGTGCTTTATCATTGTGTTTTCTGTATGGTTTATATGTACCTTTTCTTAGACTGAAGGTGACATCTATAAAATCTACTTCATTTAGGATAGTTTTTATGTCTATGTCGAATCTAATATTTTTTAAAATCTTTATGAATGTTTTTCTAGTTTTGTCTGTGTTTTGTTTGTTATAGTTTCTTAAGATTATGAGACCATCATCCCTGTAGATAGAAATGATACAGGACTCACAAATCCCTGATATATATTGAACACTTTAACCCAATATATATAGCATACCTTAAAACTATATTTTATCATATATATATATATATATATAATTAATACAAGTAAAAGGTTTATTACTTAGCTGATTGATGTTATCTTCAGCAACCTAACTCCAGAATTTCGTAAATGGACCCTTCGTGGATGAATCACTGTGTCCACTCATCAGGGGCTACCAGCAATTGACTGCTTATACTTCTCAATTTTTCTTTTTTATATGCACTTTTCATTGGTGCAAGGTTTTATTTCATAGTGTATGTGTGCATGTGTTTGTGTGTGTGTGTGCATTCATGAGCATGTACCCATGCACTCGTCTGTACATATGTGTGTATGTGTAGAATTTTGTGGTTATTTGTCTTTTTTGGCATTTTTTTTCACTTTACACTCCTTCCTTAACCTACTCTATCTTTTTCTATTTTTCCTCTTTTCTTTCAATTGTAGCCATTTTGACTTCCCATTTTCTAGACATATACTATTTATAATTGATTGATTAATTAATTTTCTTTTCATGTCTTATCAACCTTTTGCAGATTATTAAAAGCCAGAAAATATTTTTATATTGTAAGCATTTTGGGGAGATAATAATGATTTTACTAATACAAGTTCTACTAATTAACCCATAGCTCAGGGGAGAAGAGGTTGATTCATACATTTTTCAAGACTATTTACACATAAGTGAATATAAAGAACCCAACGGTAATTGGATCTCAGGTTGCCAATTTAGAATTCTAAGCCATTTCCATTACACCACCTATACATCCAAACTTAAAGCACCTGGTATTCCCAAGCAGTCACCCATCTAGATACTGAACAGGTTTGAGATTGCTTAACATCAGTGATCATACAAGAACAGATATTTCAACATGATATGGCCATATGCTTACGCGCACACACACACACACACATATT